ACAGAAAGGTGATCGTTTTATCCCCCAACACGTTCATAAGATAAAATGAAGCACCCTGGCCAGGGTCCCATGAAAAACAAATTATACATTGCTGGTATTATTCACAGCACTGTACAAACACACACATCACTACTAATGTACACTGACCGGCCACTTTATTAGGTCCATCTGTTCAATTGCTTGGTAACGCAAATTGCTAATCAGCCAATCACATGGCAGCAACTCCATGCATTTAGCCATCTACACATGGTGAAGACGACTTGCTGAAGTTCAAATTGAACATCAGAAAGGGAAAGAAAGGGGATTTACATTACTTTGAATGTGGCATGGTTGTTGATGCCAGACGGCCTGGTCTGAGTATTTCAAAAACTGCTGATCTACTGGAATTTTCAAACACAACCATCTCTAGGGTTTACAGAGAATGGTCTGAAAAAGAGAAAATATCCAGTGAGCGACAGTTGTGTGGCCGAAAATGCCTTGTTGATGTCAGAGGAGAATGGGCAGACTGGTCGCTGCGACACTCAGATGGTACGGTCAGAATTTGGCATAACACAACATGAAAGCATGGATCCATCCTGCCTTGTATCAACGGTTCAGGCTGGTGGTGGTGTCGTAGTGTGGGGGGATATTTTCTTGGAACTAGCAAGGTGTACATAATAAAGTGGCCGGTGAGTGTAGATATCAACAACAGTGGATGCAAGCCATACAACAATATTACAAAATACAATTTCTATTTACAGATATTGCAATGACAGCCGACATAGTGCTGTATGCAGTGAGGACAGAATGGTCCATCGCACTGACACACAAGTATGTTCATGTGGCAACCAGAACAAGAGCTAAATCAAGTTGGTAGCAATTAACCTGCTTTCATTACTGCACACATTGTGGCTTTCCATTCCATTGAAGTATGAGCAATCTAACACGGGCTACTCTGGAATGCATGGGAATGCACTGGCTTTTCTGGACTGCGTGGGGCTGGTCACAACTGGCTATTATGGGTTGTGTAGGGCACACACTGGCACTGCTAGGCTATGCGGGTCACACACACAAATACACATTTCTGAGCTGCATGAGGTGCAGATAGGCTGTGAGGAGCTCAAGTTGGCTCTTTTGCAAGACTGGTGTCAAATAATTCTTTGATGCACCAATGCCTTTTCATCTAATTTTGGATTGGAGATGTACAAATATTTTCTGAGCCTTTAATGGAGTTATAGCTCTGCAAATTTAAATAAAAGAAAAAAAAATGTTTAATTAGTAAATGTCACATTAAGTATTTCATAACTGATAAATTTGGGGAGTGCTGTGACAATGTAGTGCGCTTGCAGTTCACGATGCTTGTTTTAGAGCAATGGGTGTTTGCTGCCCCCTGAGGTCAGCATAAGAACTGCCACCCTGTTGCATCTCTGAGATAAGTGAGAAAAAAATGGAAAGGAAAAGAGGAAAACAAAAATGGAAACGAAAGAGAGAGAGAGAAAAAAAAAAATAAAATGGAAAGGAAAGAGAAAATAAAATGGAAAGGAAAGAGAAAAAAAAAAAAAAAATGGAAAGGAAAGAGAGAAAAAAAAAAAAAAATAAAATGGAAAGGAAAGGAAAGAGAAAATAAAATGGAAAGGAAAGAGAAAATAAAATGGAAAGGAAAGAGAAAATAAAATGGAAAGGAAAGAGAAAATAAAATGGAAAGGAAAGAGAAAATAAAATGGAAAGGAAAGAGAAAATAAAATGGAAAGGAAAGAGAAAAATAAAATGGAAACGAAAATAAAATGGAAACGAAAATAAAATGGAAACGAAAATAAAATGGAAACGAAAATAAAATGGAAACGAAAATAAAATGGAAACGAAAGAGAAAATAAAATGGAAACGAAAATAAAATGGAAACGAAAGAGAAAATAAAATGGAAACGAAAGAGAAAAAAAAAAAAAAAAAACAAAACAAAAAAAAAAAACACGAAAACAACACAGACAAATTGTTTTAACCACTGAGAAATTGTGAAGTGATAAGCTAGTACCCCTTTAAAAAGGACCATCAGGAATGCCAAAAGAAAAAAAAAAAAAAAGTCTTTCTAATGGAAGCATTGGCTGAAAGGAAAACCCGCACTGCAAAATCTATAATATATTCAGGCAGTGAAGAGAAATTTCCTTCTGGTGTACTGAAGCTGGACACAGACATTAGAAGAAGGTCCTGGTGGAGGTGAAAGCTCAAACCCCCCTCAGGAAGGAAGGCGGCTCTAGCACTCATTACCACCTTATGCTTGTGTAAGGCCAGAAAGGGCTGTTTGCAGGAAAGGATGCCAGCTCATACATACGGCTCGCAGGGGTGATGGCCACAACGAAAGCAACAATGTAAGTGAAAGTGAAGAGAGGAATATCCTCAATAAGATCAAAAACCAGTTTTTTGAAGTGCAGCCAGAACCAGGTTCAAATCCTATGGGACCACAAATGGTTCACAGGAGGATCTACACGAGACACCCTGTACAAAGGTCTTAACGCATAGGAGGCTAGCAGTCTTTGGCTTTAAGAAAGCAAGAGCTAAGACTTGCCCCTTAATGGTACTTGGGGCCAAAGGCTTGTGATTGGCTCACTGATTTTCCCAGTAGTCTGCACTAAGATACAAGTCAGATTTTTGGCATGCCGTGCAACAAGAATGTCATTTTTGGCGAGATGCTACCCCAAAAAGGCAAATCATGTCTAAAAGGAATGCAGAACCATTTTTCCCAATGGAACCCTGCAAGTGCAGCCGTTGATTGATTATTATTAGATCACTGCCATTCACTATCACTTTGCACATGGACAAACAGTTTCCTCAGAACAAAAGGTAGGAATCTGCAACAACGTTTGTTAAAATCCCTGTAATGTACGTAGATAGACCAGAAGGGATTTTATTTTTTTTTATTTTTCTCAAAAGTGGATTTACTCTTTAGCCACTTGCCAACTGCCTCACTTAGAAGTACAACGGTAAGGCGGCCTTTCTGCCCTGGATCACATATCTGATGCATGATCTAGCTCTTCCAGGTAGGGGGGGTGAATGCCCACCGACCCAGCTGTGCTGTGATTAGTTACAGCATAAGCCGATCAGTGGGTCCTGGCCAGTGACTGATGGCCACGAGCTGACGATCGGCAAAACAGATGACAGGACAGAGCTCCGATTGCAAACAGCACACAGCTCTGTCCTGATAATGGGATGTGCCCGTTTTTGTTTTTCTGCAAAGCAGGGAATAAAAACCAGAACATCCCTTACTAAAATCAGCACACAGTAAACACACCAAACATTGTTAGGCACACAGTCTAACCCATTTAATTGCCCTTAGATGTTAGCCCCTTCCCAGCCAGTGTCAATAGTACAGTATCAGTGTATATTATTAGCACTGACCACTGTATTTGAGTCACTGTTGAAGTCACTGTCATTTAGTAAATCTCTGCCAGCACCAGTTAGGCCTAGTTCACACCTATGTGTTTTTTGGTGCTTTTTGTAGAAACGCACTACAGTCCATTTACCATGGTTTCCTATGGGACATGTGCACATCTATGCTTTTTTCAAAAGAAAGCTCTAATTTGTGTGAAAAAAATCATATAAATTTCATTTGGTTACAGTGTTGCATGACCACGCAATTATCAGGTAAATTACCACAGTGCCGGATCGCAACAAATGGCCTGGTCATGAAGGGGGTAAAACCTTCCGGAGGGCAAGTGGTTAAATATGCCTTCCATGCACCATGGTGCAATCTGCGGGAGGTAGACTTCTTAGCTTTTGACACCGTGGGAATTATCAAATCGCTCAAGACCCGGGCTTCAACAGCCATGCCACTAAAGCCAGCGACTGAAGCAGGGTGGAAAACTGGTTCAATGTGATAATAAATATGGTTGATAGAAGAGAGCGCTTTGGTAAATAAAATCATCATTTGTTATGACAAATATTATGACTCCAAAATTTTGAAGGCTATTCTATAATGAAAGGAAACATCAATATAAAACAAAATTACACTAAAAATCAAATTGACTAAAAACCATCAGTATCTATAAAACACAAGGGGGCAGAAACAATCAGACACGGCGATAATTTGCTTAGTCTGGAGTTGTTTTGCACACAATGGTCAAAAGACATGGAGCACAGCATTCCAACATGTGGATTATGCTGTAACTAAAAGCAACACTTTTTTTCTTTTAGTTTTGGATAGAGTGTGGAAGGATTTAAAACACCTGTCAGTGTATTTTTTTGCTGTCTGTGCCCCTGTTAAGAAGGTTCATCCTTTTTGTCTTGTCTATTAATGAAAATGGAAGAAAACGCCACATTTTGTATTGACACTAGAAAAATAATAGAGGGGAAAGCTTCCAATGGGGGCACTAGTTCTGGTTACACCCCAGGACTCCCTCCCTCCCTCACAGTTTCCTTTCACTTCCTGTTTGGCTATGGGACAGCAAGTGAAGGGAACTCTCCCCAATGGGACACAGATGACAAAAAAAACCCCCAAAAAACTAAAGGGCTCGTTCACACTTGGCTGTTTTACCAACGCTTGACAAACGCCCCTATAGCGTTTGGCAAGCGTTGGTCCGGCGTTTGCGGAGAGTTTAGCGGTGGTTGCTAGGCGTTTGCCGAGCGTTAATAATGCCCCACAAACGCCTATAATGCAGTCTGAGTGGTGTTACCGCTCCGCAAACGCGTCGCAACCGCACCGCAAACGCCGGCCGGGCGTTTGTGGAGCGGCACCATAGACAAGAATAGGAGGCTTCAAAGCCTCCTGACTCGACCAGAGGCGTCCGTTTTGCCGCGACGCAACGTGACGCAAACGCTCCCGTTAGAACAGCACCATGTGCTGTAATGTGCAGACTTGGCAGAGGAGTTTGGGAAGCCGTAAAAACGCTTCCCAAACGCCTCTCTGCCGCCTGCACACAAAGCTAGTGTGAACGTAGCCCAACAGGGGTTATAACCCCCTCTCACACTATCCAAAATGGAAACTTTTTTGCCTTTTGTTACACTTTAAAACTGTGCGAAAAAAGATTTAACTATCTCTGCCTGCCATCTTCCCATTTACTGAAACACTCTTGAAGATATGACAGGCACTTACATTCTTCTAGTCCCAACTGATAGGCCAAATTCTGAAGTCCACGAACCTTCTCCATTAGATTAGTGATGGTTAGACTACCCAATTCTGGAGAGAAAAAAAACAAAAAAAAAAACAAAACACCTGAGTTATTACCAGATAATTCCTTCCCCAGAAATCCTGCTCAGGATTGTTAACAAGAGTTGGCTCAGCCAGCCTGCAGGAAACACAAGCGAAAGGAGTTTAGGACTTTTGGGAGTGGAGGACCTCAGTTTTTTTTGCAAGAAGACAAAAAACCTGAAGCAGTAAACAAAAACTAAAAGAAACATGCAACAATTAAACTGTCCTGGAAGATTTTAGAAAAGGAGTTAGCGGGTAATAACTCCCCCTGCATCCTTCAGGACTGTTTGCAACAGAAACTAACAAGATCTTACCTAGGAAGGGACCACTGCCTGAAGCACCTTTCTCCTGAATATCTGGTCTTAACTAGGCCTTAGTTGGGACCGTTGAAGATATCCAGAATTATTTTGTTTCTTTTGATGTACTGTAGTATACATCTATGTATATACAACTTCAACTCTCTGCCCCCTTTTTTTCTGAACTCTCAGACAAGCTTATAAATTCAACACTTTGAACAGCTGTAGAGAAAAGAATGATGCAGATAAACAGGTACAGCCTATGTAGAAGTATTTGGTTTATCTCGGTGTATCACCTGAGGCCAGTCACTTCACTGGGTATATGTAAGGGTTTACAACTACTTTAGGTGGGTTTAAAAGATGGTTTTCTTAATCCATTGAGTACTGTAGTAAGATCCCATGATGTCACCATTAGTCAATTTGAGGGTCTACTAATGAGTTTTTAACCAGATTCTTGTCTAGGAGTGCAGAAAAAGTAGCTGATTGCACTTTCAGTGTGCTGCTGGCCGGTTTCACTGTCTGCACCACTCTACAAAACGTCTAAAATTGAGGAAATATGACACTTTTGCAAGTTCTCCAAAGCCCACTGGCAAAAGTTTTTTTTTTTTTCGGCCACAGTTCCAGTCACACAACTTGCCTGTATTGAAGTGTATCTCCCTCTTCACAGCACTTCGGGTCTAACAACAAAGTACACTAAAGTCCTGATGGGCACCCTTCCCTTTCTGCCCCTACCTCTATTGACAAAAGTCCTTACATTGTTTTCATAGAATCCAACACATTCTATAAGTGGGGGAGAGGATTTGGTCATTCATCCGACCGTTGCATTCCCATGTTACATTGTGTGAAAACAATGAAAGGATTTTTGTCAATGGAGGTGGGGACAGAAAGGGGCAGGCGTCCATCAAGACTTTTTCAGTGTTAGATTTGAGAGAATTGATCTATGCAGTGCCAGAGAATCAGCACCATGAAGAGGATTCAATGGCAGTCAGCAGGACGTGGGATACTCTTCACTGCAGGTAAAGTTATAGGATTGAAGCTGTAGTCTAAGAAAAAAAAATTAGCTAAACTTCAGCTTTAAATGGATCTCATTATTTGTTTCTACTCTGTAAGAGGGTGACAACTTTCTATGACAGTTCTTTGCCTTTGAGAATCCTCCATTTAAGATCCATGTGCAGAGTCACACTTCCTGAAGATGTGGATGCAGGTTCTAGTTATGGGTAAGAACGGCCTTCCAGTGGGGTAGAATGAACAGGGGTTCTTCTGCAGTTTTTATTAGTTCGGAAAACCATGCCCTCCTCAGTCACAGAGGGTCTATGAAAATCACCCTGTACCTGTCTGATTTGATTCTACTGATAATGAGAAGAGCTGGAGGAAAGACATAGATGGAAAGGGGTCAGCCATGCATTTAGATCTCTTGGGTTCCCATAAAGATAAAAGTAAGAAAGGCACCACCTTTTTGTTCTTGCATGTGGCAAAAAGGTCCGTCGGGGGGTTCCTAATCTAGATGCCAGCAGCTGAAAGGTCTCCTGATGAAGTTCCCATTCCCCTTTTTTTGAAGGCAGTCCTGCTTAGGGTGTTTACAGTGGAATGGTCCATCTTATGTTGCAGGGATAGACGCTCATATCTGGCCATTAAAGGATGAGAAGGGCTGTTATCAGAACCTCCGACGACTTGATTCCACCCTGGCAATTCAAGTACGAGACAGTTGACATGGAATCAGGACATGCTTTCACAAAACAAGGGACCTGAAGTAGTGGAGCTTTTCTGACAGTCCGGAGCTCCCTGACATTTAGAGTTTGGAGAGAGATATAGAAGGCCATTTCCCCTGTCACAATCTTTCCACCCAGAGGGGCTCCCCAGCCCCAGGTAATGGTGTCTGTTATAACTGTGGCTTGACATACGCAGTGAGCAACTCCACAACACCGAGGAAGAAAACATCCCCAGAAAAGTAGAGTAAAGGCATATGTCCCACTCACTGCTAGAGTCTGGTGCTCTAATCTGTAACCTCATCTTCCATTGCACAGCTCTTAAAGGAGAGCTGGATCTGAAGGGGGACAGAATAGCTACCTTGATCCATGCAGCCTCCTCCAGGAAGAAGCAACACCATTTTGTCCAAAAATACCGCTCACAAGGCCGCCAGGGAGGCTTTCAGGATGCCATCCCATGTTTGTGATGTGTGGGCAGTACACTCGTCATATCCAGTGGTGCCTCACCCCGGCACTTCCCTCTTGGCTAGGCTATGACAATCAGGTGCGAGAAGATCCTGCACATGTGCATACAACTGTATATGCACTACACAGCTTAAGCTGATGATGGTTACTTCCAGTGGACTCAACCAGAGGAGATGCCCTGTGTATAAAGAAACGAGTAGGCAAAGTTTTGGGGCTCCAACAGCAATGGGAAGCAAAAAGGACCAAACTGAGCCTTTACATAAAAAAAAGCCCAAGATGTCCTACTTCCAACTAGGGAGAACTCTGAAAATGTAGGAGATATGATCACTTAGGGTCCTATGGAGGAAGAAAGGGTGTAACTTAAGGGACCCCTCCACCATGAAACCACAAATCACCCAAAAGGTTTCTCGGCTGCCAAGGTCGAGGCTTCTAATCCCTGAAGTAGGGCTCATGGGTATGAAAACAACAAACTGGTGGAAGAAAGAATGTGTTTTAAGGAGGCAGGAAACACAAGAACTGGGATCCAAAACTCTTGTGAACCAATCTGGGAGGATAAGAGAAAAATTCAACAAACTGTCAACAGTGACTTTTTACTGCTATAAAGCCAGGACTTCATTCCTCATGCCACTTACTAGCCTGATCAAAATTAGTCTCCCAGCTAACCTAGTCTTGAACCAGGTTCTTCACAGTGCTAAAAAGTTCTGAAATTGGTTTCTACCTCCTCCCACTAAAAACAAAATTCTTTTCTCCACCAACTGCCTGAACTACATTCCTTACCTTGCTAACCAGCCTACAAACTACATCCTTTTTTCACCAGCCTAAAGCTAGGTTCCTCTCTCCGCCAACCAGCCTAAAGCTAGGTTCCTCCCTCCGCCAACCAGCCTAACGCTAGGTTCCTCCCTCCGCCAACCAGCCTAACGCTAGGTTCCTCCCCCTCCGCCAACCAGCCTAACGCTAGGTTCCTCCCTCCGCCAACCAGCCTAACGCTAGGTTTCCTCCCTCCGCCAACCAGCCTAACGCTAGGTTCCTCCCTCCGCCAACCAGCCTAACGCAGGTTCCTAACGCTAGGTTCCTCCCTCTAAAGCGCCTCCCTCCGCCAACCAGCCTAAAGCTAGGTTCCTCCCTCCGCCAACCAGCCTAAAGCTAGGTTCCTCCCTCCGCCAACCAGCCTAAAGCTAGGTTCCTCCCTCCGCCAACCAGCCTAAAGCTAGGTTCCTCCCTCCGCCAACCAGCCTAAAGCTAGGTTCCTCCCTCCGCCAACCAGCCTAAAGCTAGGTTCCTCCCTCCGCCAACCAGCCTAAAGCTAGGTTCCTCCCTCCGCCAACCAGCCTAAAGCTAGGTTCCTCCCTCCGCCAACCAGCCTAAAGCTAGGTTCCTCCCTCCGCCAACCAGCCTAAAGCTAGGTTCCTCCCTCCGCCAACCAGCCTAAAGCTAGGTTCCTCCCTCCGCCAACCAGCCTAAAGCTAGGTTCCTCCCTCCGCCAACCAGCCTAAAGCTAGGTTCCTCCCTCCGCCAACCAGCCTAAAGCTAGGTTCCTCCCTCCGCCAACCAGCCTAAAGCTAGGTTCCTCCCTCCCTAGGCCAACCAGCCTAAAGCTAGGTTCCTCCCTCCGCCAACCAGCCTAAAGCTAGGTTCCTCCCTCCGCCAACCAGCCTAAAGCTAGGTTCCTCCCTCCGCCAACCAGCCTAAAGCTAGGTTCCTCCCTCCGCCAACCAGCCTAAAGCTAGGTTCCTCCCTCCGCCAACCAGCCTAAAGCTAGGTTCCTCCCCGCCCTCCCAACCAGCCTAAGCTAGGTTCCTCCCTCCGCCAACCAGCCTAAAGCTAGGTTCCTCCCTCCCTCCGCCAACCAGCCTAAAGCTAGGTTCCTCCCTCCGCCAACCAGCCTAAAGCTAGGTTCCTCCCTCCGCCAACCAGCCTAAAGCTAGGTTCCTCCCTCCGCCAACCAGCCTAAAGCTAGGTTCCTCCCTCCGCCAACCAGCCTAAAGCTAGGTTCCTCCCTCCGCCCAACCAGCCTAAAGCTAGGTTCCTCCCTCCGCCAACCAGCCTAAAGCTAGGTTCCTCCCTCCGCCAACCAGCCTAAAGCTAGGTTCCTCCCTCCGCCAACCAGCCTAAAGCTAGGTTCCTCCCTCCGCCAACCAGCCTAAAGCTAGGTTCCTCCCTCCGCCAACCAGCCTAAAGCTAGGTTCCTCCCTCCGCCAACCAGCCTAAAGCTAGGTTCCTCCCTCCGCCAACCAGCCTAAAGCTAGGTTCCTCCCTCCGCCAACCAGCCTAAAGCTAGGTTCCTAAAGCTAGGTTCCTCCCTCCGCCCAAACCAGCCTAAAGCTAGGTTCCTCCCTCCGCCAACCAGCCTAAAGCTAGGTTCCTCCCTCCGCCAACCAGCCTAAAGCTAGGTTCCTCCCTCCGCCAACCAGCCTAAAGCTAGGTTCCTCCCTCCGCCAACCAGCCTACAGCTAGGTTCCTCCCTCCGCCAACCAGCCTAAAGCTAGGTTCCTCCCTCCGCCAACCAGCCTAAAGCTAGGTTCCTCCCTCCGCCAACCAGCCTAAAGCTAGGTTCCTCCCTCCGCCAACCAGCCTAAAGCTAGGTTCCTCCCCTCCGCCAACCAGCCTAAAGCTAGGTTCCTCCCTCCGCCAACCAGCCTAAAGCTAGGTTCCTCCCTCCGCCAACCAGCCTAAAGCTAGGTTCCTCCCTCCGCCAACCAGCCTAAAGCTAGGTTCCTCCCTCCGCCAACCAGCAAAGCTAGGTTCCTAACCAGCTAAAGCTAGGTTCCTCCCTCCGCCAACCAGCCTAAAGCTAGGTTCCTCCCTCCGCCAACCAGCCTAAAGCTAGGTTCCTCCCTCCGCCAACCAGCCTAAAGCTAGGTTCCTCCCTCCGCCAACCAGCCTAAAGCTAGGTTCCTCCCTCCGCCAACCAGCCTAAAGCTAGGTTCCTCCCTCCGCCAACCAGCCTAAAGCTAGGTTCCTCCCTCCGCCAACCAGCCTAAAGCTAGGTTCCTCCCTCCGCCAAACAGCCTAAAGCTAGGTTCCTCCCTCCGCCAACCAGCCTAAAGCTAGGTTCCTCCCTCCGCCAACCAGCCTAAAGCTAGGTTCCTCCCTCCGCCAACCAGCCTAAAGCTAGGTTCCTCCCTCCGCCAACCAGCCTAAAGCTAGGTTCCTCCTCCGCCAACCAGCCTAAAGCTAGGTTCCTCCCTCGCCGCCAACCAGCCTAAAGCTAGGTTCCTCCCTCCGCCAACCAGCCTAAAGCTAGGTTCCTCCCTCCGCCAAACCAGCCTAAAGCTAGGTTCCTCCCTCCGCCAACCAGCCTAAAGCTAGGTTCCTCCCTCCGCCCAACCAGCCTAAAGCTAGGTTCCTCCCTCCGCCAACCAGCCTAAAGCTAGGTTCCTCCCTCCGCCAACCAGCCTAAAGCTAGGTTCCTCCCCCCCAGCCAACCAGCCTAAAACTAGGTTCTTCCCTCCAGTAAATCAGCCTAAAACTACTGTATGTTCAACACTCCACTAGCCATTCACCCAGAACTACATTCCTGGCACCCCTAGACAGACTGAACTAAGTTCCCAACACCAAAAACTGTCCAGATTCATCCCCATTCACCAAATCTGAATCAATGGAGTTAAAGTTTCTGGGAATTTACCTCTTAGCATTTCAATGTCATCATTTTCCAATTCAGCCATCCACTTGGGCGGAGAGCTTGCAATTGGCTGGGAAGAAAGACACACTAGTTAAACAAAGACAAAGAGGAACATGAAGTATGTATTTAAATGTGAAGTATATCACCACCTATCTCACAACCAGTCATTGTAAGTAAATGGTCAGTAGGAGCACCTTTTCTTCTGAAAAGACTTTTATAAAATGTTCATGTTTTTTACCAAGCAGGCACATCATGTACTTACATTGTCTGACTGTGATCATAGGCAAAATCAAAATAGCCAATCAAAATGGAACACAGCGATCACAAGGCACTGAGCCAATCACAACAAATAAATCATATTCACTACATCTCTACAATATATTGAACACTTCCCCAAGTATTGTATTTCTAAAAATACTGCATGTACAGAAAAATACCTGTTAATCTGCCAGAAATCCAGTGAGCTAACTTCTGGTAGCACTGAAATCCTAAGAAGTGTTGCCAGCCCTGCCCAGTTCTCATTTGCAGAACCCCATCCTCAAGTTATAGCAATGAGAAGAGGGTGTCCAATCCTGTAGACCAGTATTTAAGAAAGAGAAGGACTGAAAACCCAAGTTTATATTTCATTGCAGCAGAAGCAGCTAAAAACAGAAGTTAGGATCTCCCTGGATTTCCAGCAGGATCAAGGAACATTGTTTTTCGTGCCTGCAACATTTATAGAGATAAACAAACATAAGGAAAATGTGCATGCAGGTTTTGTTTTACTTTGCCGAGTCATACACTTTAAAAACGTGCGCGATAATGGTCATTGTTGTTGGAAGTTATGAAGGGCCAGTCTGCACAAATGTGTTTTTTTTTTTTGTCTGCCTGAGGACATCAGCTTTGAAATCGCACAGAGATGACTGCGAACCAACAACAAATCCCAGCTGTCAATTTACCTCCTGTGCGACAATCCTGGATTGATCTGTTACATGGCAGGGACATCTGGTGATAAGCCTAGGACTTCCACTGAAAGGATCATTTAGCACACACGCATAAACCACACTCCAACTCAAGAAAGCTATTTTTTTGGTAAAAATCTGTTCGCCAACATAGTAGTTGGAAACCCATATCACAGATTAGAACACTTATGGTCACAGGTGTGACCATATCACTTAGGAAAAAGGGACTAATAGTGGCAAAAGCAGTTATACTCCACCTGGTCATCAGTTCGAATCCCAAACATGACAATACCTGCTTGCAGTTTGCATGCTCTCCTGTGCCTGCATGGGTTTCCTCCAGGTACTCTGGTTTCCTCCCACACTCTAAAACACATGCTGGTAGGTTAATTGGCTCCTGTCTAAATTGTCCCTAGTATGTGTATGTATGAATGTGAGTTAGGGACCTTAGATTGCACACCCCTTGAGGGCAGGTACTGATGTGAATGGACAATATATATGTAAAGCACTGCGTGAATAGTTGGCACTATACAAGTACCTGTAATAAATAAATAAAAAAAAAAAAAAAAATACTTACACTCTTAAAGGAGGCGGCAAATTCTGCAACTCCTGGAACTGGAAGACAGAGAAATCACAAATAATAAAACATCATCAGCTTGATGTTAGACCAATATAGTGGGTGAAACATACTGGCCCAAAAGGCTCTGGAGTACTAAATACACCTGTCATGGAGGACTGGACACACTACAGCACCTGCTGTCACATTCAAAATTGACAAGGTTGTGTGTGGGCAATCTGTGCATGAGGAAACTACAAGTCCCATCTGCCACCACGGCAGACAGCTTGAAGATCTCAATGAACTTCAAGGGCACTGAAGTGCTCCTTGGTAGTCCATTGACACCCTTCAGCTTTCAAACAAAGTCTGCACAGGGGTACAGGCAAGAGAGCTGGTGGACATGTCTGCAGAAGCCTGACATTGCGCCCATGATCTTCTGATCATGGGTACAATGCTATGCAGGTTCCTGGGGAAAATATAAATGCACTTTTTTTTCCCCTGCAAAAATATGTACATTTATCCCCCCTCCCCAAAGGATGAACTTCTCCTTTAAACAGGAGAAGTTCCCAACGAATGTTGGAAAGATAATGTACTTATCCACAAAACAGGTGATAAGGAAGAAGCTGGTAACTACAGGCCAGTAAGTGTAAGGTCTATAGTAGTAAAATTGATTGAAATCTCTCCTAAAATGAAGGGTAAGGCACCATTTAAAAACAAAACACAAATTGCTGGATTCAAAGCAGCTTGGCTTTACTGAGGGAGAAAAGGAAAGGAGGGACATGACTGACACCTTTAACACCTTCCCGCCCGGCCTATTGCAGATTGACTGCCAGGCGGGACACTCACCGTTGACTGGGCGTCATATGACGTCCTGTCAAAATGAGCCGCTAATGTGGCGTAGCGGCGCAATCTGTCCACGGGACACAGCCGATGACATATCACTACACCGGCCCATTGCCAGTGTCATGTGATCGCTGTGACCAATCAGAGCGGATGACAAGTCAATTGTATACAATGGATGGCTTCCGGTCATGCCATCCATTGTATACAATTATGTTGTTAGCTGTGACTGGTCAAAGCAGTCACGTGATACAGACAGGGCCAATCACAGCCCATCTATATCATGTGATCAGATTTGCCCAATCACAGCTAATCATAACAAAAGACTGAATAAATCAGTTTCATTCAGTAACAATGATTGCAAATATCAATGAAATACATTGGTATTAGCAATCATAATGTGTTAAAAAAAAAAAAAAAAAAAAATCCTGATCACTTACCCAGAGTAGTTCAGTGTTACTATGGTAACATTATATTGCTTTGGTCACAGTGTGTTGGAAAAAAAAAAATAGTAAAAAATTTAAAAAAAAAATAAAAAAATAGAACAAATTTGAAAAAAAAAAAAAAATACAAATTAAATTTTTTATTTTTTAATAATTTTCACCAAAGAAATGTAGCAGAATACATTTTGACCTAAATTTATGAAGAAAATTTTATTTATTTGCAAAATTTTATAACAGAAACAAAGAAAAGTGTGTTTTTTTTTTAAAATTTCAGGTTTTTTTTTTTTATTTAGTAAAAAATGAAAAAACCTCAGTGGTGATTAAATACCACCAAAAGAAATCTCTATTTCTGTGAAAAAAATGATAAAAATTTGATATGGGTGTAGTGTTACATGACCACGCAATTGTCAAAGTGTGACAACGCTGAAAGCTGAAAATTGGCCTGGGCAGGGGGGGTAAAAGTGCCCGGTACTGATGTGGTTAAATACATGAAAGGTGTGAATGAGTACAGGAAGGAAATATTTTCGATATGACGCTTAAGCCCAGTACACACAGGCCGAATATCAGCAGAAATCAGCTGTTACAGTAGAAACTGGATGACTTTTGTGTTAGTACAGCGAGCGGTCAGGTTTTCAGCCCGCTGGGTTGAATGAAAAGAAACTTCCCATGTGTACCAGGCTTCAGATGAAACTAAGATCACAGAACACAGGGACATGATCTCAAACTAGTGGGACGAAAGTGCAAAAAATTACTTTAAGGCTCTGCTAAACTAGCTAAAATTCAAGCTTCGGGTGACCCTGCCGGCACTCGTTCAATTGAATTTTGTTGAAGGAGTAGGCTATAAAGTTTGTAACCAATAAATAATATTTTGAAATGCCAAAATATATATGCAGCGCTCTGTAAATCATAAAAAAGAAAAAAATTCATAAACAAAAAGTCCATCAATAAAAGGTTATAAAGTGTATGGCTGAACAGCGACTTCATCCAATCAGATGCAGGTACTGCCCAGGTATTCAGCAGTTGTTGGAGCCGATTAGAATAGCTGTCAGCAGAAATGATTCTATCTATGCTTGTTTCTTCTGCGGGCTGACCGAGAAAATCTACACATGTATGCTCAGCTCTAGAAAGTAATATTTTATTGGAGGAATAGATGATGCTTGGATCAGACTTTCAGCTGAGGTAAGCAGTCAGGAGCCATACGCCATGACGTCACACCTCCGGAGCCTCACAAAGGTCCGGCGGCCATCTTAGCGAGTGGCTGGTCAGTTCACTACTTTTAAACTGTGTTTTTTGCTCTATTTCCACGTGGATGATGTACAATTTTTATACTCAAATCTGATATAAATTACTTCCTATGAGCACCTAATTTTTTTGGCTCTAAATTAAGCTAAAAACGATTTCCAGGACTACAGCCGGAGAACAGTTGCAGAGCAGTCTCAGATCCAGAGGAGGGAGTCTTTTCCTATGCTGTGTGTCTGGTCCATTTAATGGGGGCTTCCTGCAGATCCTTGGTCATTATATGATTCAACACATTGCACTTTTACTATGCGCATCTGGTGAGTGCGCATTTTTATCAAATTCCCTGCATGGATTGAAATTCACATGGAATATTTTGATACCACCTGTGCAACAGGATCTGTATGCGGCACATTTCTCTGACCGGTGTTTGTCAGACCCTCACCATTATATGAACAATTTGTTTTATAACCTTCACAGTCGCACTTGTTTATTTACGCTCATTGTAGCGCTTCATTCACTCCCTCGTTATCTGTGTTTAATATTTTTTATGTAATTTTATATTAATATATTTAAATAGTACACTTATATATATATATATAAATTTTTTTCAGCGCTGCACCATCTTTTGTGTAGGTAACGGTAAGTGAATTTAAACATGCCTGGAACAAATGAGGGTCTATAACCCCTTGCATTCAACTGTACACACATCTGCGGCCTCACTGAAGTGGGTCTTCTTCCATGAGTCTGCATACAGGTGAAACTCAAAAAATTAGAAGATTGTGCAAAAGTTCATTTATTTCAGTAATGCAACTTAAAAGGTGAAACTAATATATGAGATAGACTCATTACATGCAAAGCAAGATAGTTCAAGCCGTGATTTGTCATCATTGTGATGATTATGGCTTACAGCTCATGAAAACCCCAAATCCACAATCTCAGAAAATGAGAATATTACATGCAATCAATAAAACAAGGATTGTACATAGAACAATATCGGACCTCTGAAAAGTAGAAGCATGCATATGTACCCAGTACTTGGTTTGGGCCCCTTTTGCAGCAATTACTACCTCAATGAGGCGTGGCATGGAAGCTATCAGCCTGTGGCACTGCTGAGGTGTTATGGAAGACCAGGATGCTTCAATTATTATTATTATTATACAGTATTTATATAGCACCAACAGTTCGCTCAGCGCTGTACATTACAATGGGGGACAACACATGAGACAGTACAATAACAATACAGTGCGAAACATGAGGGGTTCGAAGGCCCTGCTCCTTGGAGCTTACAATCTAGCGGCCTTCAGCTCTTCTGGCATTGTTCGGTCTCATGTCTCATCTTTCTCTTGGCAATGCCCCATAGATTCTCTATGGGGTTCAGGTCAGGCGAGTTTGCTGGCCAATCAAGCACAGTAATCCCACGGTCATTGAACCAGGTTTTGGTGCTTTTGGCAGTGTGGGCAGGTGCCAAGTCCTGCTGGAAAATGAAGTCTGCATCTCTATAAAGATCTGCAAAAGGAAGCATGAAGTGCTCCAAAATCTCCTGGTAGATGGCTGCGTTGACCCTGGACTTAATGAAGCACAGTGGACCAACACCAGCAGATGACATGGCTCCCCAAATCAACACAGACTGTGGAAACTTCACACTGGACTTCAAGCATCTTGCAGTGTGTGCCTCTCCATTCTTCCTCCATACTCGGGGTCCTTGGTTTCCAAATGAGATGTAAAAGTTGCTCTCATCAGAAAAGAAGACTTTGGACCACTGAGCAACAGACCAGGTCTGTTTTTCTTTAGCTCAGGTAAGACGCTTCTTACGCTGTTTTTTGTTCAGGAGCGGCTTGACAAGAGGAATACAACATTTGAAGCCCATTTCCAGGATCCGTCTGTGTGTGGTGGCTCTTGATGCACTGACTCCAGCCTCAGTCCACTCCTTGTGAAAGTCCCCAACACTTTTGAATGGCCTTTTCCTGACAATCCTCTCCAGGCTGTGGTCATCCCTGCTGCTTGTGCGCCTTTTTCTTCCATACTTTTCCCTTCCACATAACTCTCTATTAATGTGCTTTGATACAGCACTTTGGGAACATCCAACTTCTTTTGCAATTACCTTTTGAGGCTTTCCCTCCTTATGGAGGGTGTCAATGATGGTTTTCTGCACAACTGTCAGGTCAGCAGTCTTTTCCATGATTGTGATTCCTACTGAACCAGACTGAGAGACCATTTAAAGGCTCAGAAACCCTTTGCAGGTGTTATGGCTTAATTAGCTGATTAGAGTGGGACACTTTGAGCCGAGAATATTGCACCTTTTCACAATATTCTCATTTTCTGAGATTGTGGATTTGGGGTTTTCATGAGCTGTAAGCCATAATTATCACAATGATGACAAATCACGGCTTGAACTATCTTGCTTTGCATGTAATGAGTCTCATATATTAGTTTCACCTTTTTAGTTGCATTACTGAAATAAATGAACTTTTGCACGATATTCTAATTTCTTGAGTTTCACCTGTATATGCGTAAATGCACAGAGACCGAGCTCTCACACTAACGATCAAGGCCCAGGATCACTGGATTACTGTGATAGCATCTGATTGGCTATCACATTGATCACTCACTGTGCTGCCCGTCCATGTGTTTTCTTTCTCTGCTGCATGGAGAGAAAGATACAATGTATCTTTTTCTCTTTGCGTGGGGACAAAAAAAAAAAAAAAAAAGGGAGAAGGAAAAGTGTTAGTGTCAAGGTAAGGGTGAAAGATCAAGGTCAGTATATTTTGGGTAAAATATTAATTTTTTTAAAGCATTTTTATATTAGTATCAGTATGTTTTGGATAGGATTAAAAAAAGCAACCTGCACACTTTTGTTTCTGGGCCCTACTATAGGTACAGACAGACAACAAATAACACACGTTATATCACTGCAATTCTCAGGAGCAGACAAATTTTTTTGGGGTTGTTTTTTAGTGGCAAGTTATGATAGTAGCAAGAAATATACTGCAAAATTTTTTTGTACTGTTTTGGGCCAGTTCTATGATAGAAAGAAAAAAAAAAAATTAATAATCAGGAGATCCGTTACCATTTACCATTAAATGAAAGCCAAATATGTCCTGAAAAAACAAGCTAAGATTTCAAAATTGTGTTCAGGCATTAACATTTGTTTTAGTCTGTCACGAAGGGGGTTAACCAGACGAAAAAAGTTAAAAAAAAAAAAAAAAAAAGAAAAAACAACTTTTTAAACTGTCAAAAAGGCTCAGACTTTATGGACTGCTTGGTCTTTTTCTGCTTCCACTCTTCTTTGTATCTACCCAGCTCCACAGTAAACTGGTGGACCATTCTCAACTGGGCATTCCATTCCAAAAATGATGCTAAATAAGCACATTTTTCCATTATACACTGCAACTATTTTCTATGACATTAGTCAACTAACTGTGAGTAGGTGCATTTCAAAAACAGCACCTATGCTGAGACAGACCATTGCAACATAAATTACACATAGAACTGTGACATACCCATGATCAGCTGAGGTCTTCGTCATAGAGTGCAAAGATAAGGCACATTTCTGCTGTTGATCTCTCTGACCATCTCTACACCCCCCTCCATCATACTGCTGCTGTCCGTACAGCAATTCAACATAGAGGTAAAGGCAGCATATGGTGGGTACGGGGTCTACATAGATGTACAAGACTTCCCCCTTTAAGGATTGCACAGTTTGTTCCAGGGTGGATTTGATTTAAATCAAACTGATTTAAATCACTAGTCAGTAAGGCTTGATGTAAATCCTAGTTTTCTACATAAAGACTAATTCTTGCTGGTATAACTTTAATATGCAAGTAGATGACGAAATTTAGAATAACAACTTTTCATATTAGTTTTTTTTATCCCCAGTTTAATGGGTTAATCATTCATATTTGGACAACTTTTCTGTTGTACTTAGGAAGGAGAAAAATAATCATTACCTTAATAATAACAATTTAAATAGATTTATTCATCTGAAACAATAACATTCCAGCATATGTGATTTGCTTAAACATCCATGTTTGTTAACTAATTTGGCTAAACAAAATCTATATATTTGAAGAAACTTAGACTGTCAGCCCCTTCCTCCTCACACTTTTCACTTTCTTCTTGTGCAGATCTATTCCACTCCAAACAATCAGAAAAATATTGTTTCTATTTTATTCACTGAACTTCTTGAAACTTAGCACTGAAGGGGTTGATTCTGTATTCATAGGTTTGTAGAAGTTAGGATGAAGGACTTTTTCTTAACTCTGTTCATGTTATAACATTTTTGCTGTGAAGAAGAGGCATGTGATCTCCGCTGAGTCAAATTCAGTTTTGAGAACTGCAAAAGTAAACCGAACATCTGTGATAATATCTTGTAGGCAGAGAAACTGCCCAATAATCTTACCAAAAACCTCTGGAAGGGCATGACATTGTGAATGGATTCATGGAATTTATTTACCAAAAACATTAAACATATACAGCCTTATTCTACATAAATAAAAAAACTAATCTTTATTTCATGATGGAATAACCTTTGGATGGTAATATATTTTCCTCAAAAATCATTTTATTTAAAAAAAATCTGATTTAAAAAAAAAAAAAAAAAAAAAAAAAAAAAATCATTGATTTTTATCCACCCTGGTTTGCTCTTAGTGCAGCACAAAGGGCCACTTACGTTGCTCTGGCCACAAGTCTGGTGATGCCCGGTCCAGTTTCTCGAAGCTCAGTAAAGACGTCTCCAGATCTGTTCCTGAGGATGAAGAAAAGGCAATTTGGAGACATGATGGAGATGTATTCAAAAAGGTAAAAACAATAAGAGGGTGAGGATAGCAAAGCACCGAGGAAACATAGAACTGCTGCACCATATTAATACCACAATTAAGTCTGAACATTTCAGGAACATAAAGATCTCCAATATTTGCAATTTCAACCAGAAAATGTGTCCAGTGGCCAATAACAATAAGTATTAACATAATATAAAAGCTATGACTCCCCCCCCCATATAAGAGAAGACATGACTGCACATCTAATAATATGAATTTTAAAGACAGAAGATCACATTCCAAAACAATATAATAACAATAATATATTACAGAGCAGAAAAAATTATAACTGATAATATTATAGAGAAGAAACAGTCCTCCAATAAAACACTAATAGATTACATAGAAGAGATGACCCCCCCCCCCCCCAAATATTGATAAATAATATTACAAAGAAGAGACAACTCCAATAATAATATTACTACAAAAGAGACAACATTTCAACAATAAAATTAGAACAGAGAAGAGAAGACACTAATATTATATTAATAATATAATTACAGAGAAGTGGCTACAATGCCAATAATCATTATCTTACTGCAGAGAAAGGATGATATATTAATATAATTGTAGTCTCCGCTCTCTAATATTATTATTATTGGAGGAGTGTCATCTCCTCCGTAGTAGTATGATTATTAACGACATTGTAGCCTCTTCTCTGTAGTAGTAGTAACAACATCACCACTACTACTACTACAGAGACTACAATGCCTTAAATAATATTACTACAAAGATGAAACTCCACCACAATATTGATCATTTTATAACAGAGAAGTGATGACCCTCCCTCCTAAATAATAATGTTCTAGAAAAAAATGACACCCACAATATTAATGATAATTACAGAAAAGAGACATCCCCCCCATAATAATAAACCTTTCCTTCACTTATCTCCCAAAATCCCAATATGAAATAAGAGCATTAATACAAATAATCGAATTACTCCTAGTCCAACCACATCAAATGAATACGCCAAAATAATCCCAAATCAATAGTAAATAAAAAAAATAATAAAAAATGTCCAAATGTAATAAAGGTCTAATCAATCAATAGTATACCAAAAATGTATAAATCCAGTGTGTTGAACTTCCAATTCTTATTCCAATCCTCGTGATACCTCGAAAAAAAATATAAAACTACAATAGTGTGTAACCTTCTAAATACCAAAGCAATATAAATACCTTAATTGTATCAGTGCAAACAATGAGTGAGTGCACCAAAATAAAATCAGATTCAACTGTGAACAACACGTGAATCATGCAAAAATCATTCCGTGTACATTCCAACAATAAATGAAAATAAAGTGACACTAGTGTAAAAAAAAAAAAAAAAAAAAAAAATAAAAAAAAAAAACCAAAACTTAAAAAAAAAAAAATATATATATATATAAATACAATAATAAATGATCATCTAAATTCAATAAATGAAGTGAGACAAATCAAATGTATTAGTGAGTACTTCAATTCGTATAGTGAACACTCCGTGACCTCTTCCAAATAGTGAGACTAAATACCATTACCCTCAGGGAGTAATCACAAGCTTATCTGGATATTCTTGGTAAATATAGAAACCACTTCCAAGCTTTCATTTACTTCAGTTGCCAATCCTCCATATTCCTCATAAAGCAAAAGGAGACTTATGTGGTATGTATTTCCAAGTGAAAAGACATTTTAATAAAGTATCTTACATTGGGGTAATTAAAATTCAGCTTTTTGCCAAACAAACCAGCCTCCTTGTCTTTCTGGGTTAAGAGACCACGTTTTCAAATTTTCAAAATGGCCGTGGCGACACTTCCGGTTTTGCGCGAGTACGTCAGACGTCACGTCCCCTGACGTGTTTCGTCACTTCCAGACTTCTTTTGAAGGTATTTATATTGTTTTGGTATTTAGAAGGTAATAATACACTATTGTCGTTTATATTTTTTTCGAAGTATCACAAGGATTGGAATAAGAATTGGAAGTTCAACACACTGGATTAATACATTTCTGGTGGACTATTGATAGATTGGACTTTAATTACATTTGGACTTTTTTTCATTTATTTATTTTATTATTTTATTGAATTTTATTATTTACTATTGATTTGGGATTATTTTGGAGTATTCGTTTGATGTGGTTGGAATAGGAGTAATTAGATTTGTATTAATGCTCTTATTTCATATTGGGATTTTGGGAGATAAGTGAAGAAAAAAGGTTTATTATTATTGTATCTACTTTCAAGGGTGAAAGTGTCACTTTTCTTTATGGGGGGATTGTGGGGGGTATTTCACTTATTTAAGGTTTGCCGAGGTATTACTTTCCCCCCCCCCCCCCATAATAATCGACTTCCCCTCCAATAATAATGATGATATTAAAAACAAAGATGACACCCACCCAGAATAATAATAATAATAATAAATACAGAGAGGAAAAAAGTCATTCCAATACTATTATAAGAGTCAAGAGACTTTGCCCTGCCGAGAAAAAAACAAAAAAAAAAAAACAAAAAAGGAGAAGATGTTGCCCCAATAATAAAAAATTTACAGACAGAGACTGGAGACGGCACTCCTCCAATATTATTATTATTTACAGAGAGGATGACCCACTGCCCCAATAATCAGCAACCCCCTCAATAATACAAATAATATTATAGCAGCAAAACAACACCCACTCAGAATAATAATAATAGTAAGACAGATGACACAGAGAAAGAAGATGACACTTCCTCAAAAATAATAATATTACAGAGAGGTAATGACATGACAATCTTATAATAAAAAAAATAATAAGAGGAGACAAACTAATATTATTACATTTTCCCAATAACAATATTAGTAGAGACAAGAGACCCTCATAATATTATACCAGAAAGAAGACAACAGCCACCCAGAATAATAATAATAATACAGAAATAAGACGACACTTCCTGAAAAAATAATAATACTACAGAGAGGTGATGACACGCCCCTGAATATATTGATAATAAATAACTATTACAGAGATGAGACAAAATAATAATAATATTACAGAGGAGACATTTTCCCAATAACAATATTAGTACAGAGAAGAGACCCTCCTTATAATATTATACCAGAGAGAAGACAACAGCCACTCAGAATAATGATAATACTACAGAGAGAAGACCCCCTCATCAATAATAATATCACAGGAAGGGGACACCTCTTCCACAATAATAATAATATCACAGGAAGGGGACACCTCTCCCACAATAATAATATCACAGGAAGGGGACACCTCTCCCCCAATAATAATATCACAGGAAGGGGACACCTCTCCCCCAATAATAATATCACAGGGAGGGGACACCACTCCCACAATAATAGCATCATCCCAGGAAAGGGACACCACTCCCCCAACAATAATAATATCACAGGAAGGGGACACCTCTCCCACAATAATAATAATATCACAGGAAGGGGACACCTCTCCCCCAATAATAATAATATCACAGGAAGGGGACACCTCTCCCCCAATAATAATATCACAGGAAGGGGACACCTCTCCCCCAATAATAATATCAAAGGAAGGGGACACCTCTCCCACAATAATAATATCACAGGAAGGGGACACCACTCCCACAATAATAATATCACAGGAAGGGGACACCTCTCCCACAATAATAATATCACAGGAAGGGGACACCACTCCCCCAATAATAATAATAATAATAATAATAATATCACAGGAAGGGGACACCACTCCCCCAATAATATCACAGGAAGGGGACACCTCTCCCCCAATAATAATATCACAGGAAGGGGACACCACTCCCACAATAATAATAATATCACAGGAAGGGGACACCTCTCCCACAATAATAATATCACAGGAAGGGGACACCACTCCCCCAATATAATAATATCACAGGAAGGGGACACCACTCCCCCAATAATAATAATATCACAGGAAGGGGACACCACTCCCACAATATTTATAATATCACAGGAAGGGGACACCTCTCCCCCAATAATAATATCACAGGAAGGGGACACCTCTCCCCCAATAATAATATCACAGGAAGGGGACACCTCTCCCACAATAATAATATCACAGGAAGGGGACACCACTCCCACAATAATAATATCACAGGAAGGGGACACCTCTCCCACAATAATAATATCACAGGAAGGGGACACCCACTCCCCCAATAATAATAATAATAATAATAATAATATCACAGGAAGGGGACACCACTCCCCCAATAATATCACAGGAAGGGGACACCTCTCCCCCAATAATAATATCACAGGAAGGGGACACCACTCCCACAATAATAATAATATCACAGGAAGGGGACACCTCTCCCACAATAATAATATCACAGGAAGGGGACACCACTCCCCCAATAATAATAATATCACAGGAAGGGGACACCACTCCCCCAATAATAATAATATCACAGGAAGGGGACACCTCTCCCACAATAATAATAATATCACAGGAAGGGGACACCTCTCCCACAATAATAATAATATCACAGGAAGGGGACACCTCTCCCACAATAATAATAATATCACAGGAAGGGGACACCACTCCCCCAATAATAATATCACAGGAAGGGGACACCACTCCCCCAATAATAATATCACAGGAAGGGGACACCTCTCCCACAATAATAATAATATCACAGGAAGGGGACACCTCTCCCCCAATAATAATAATATCACAGGAAGGGGACACCTCTCCCACCCTGCTCTATTACGGTAACAAAGGACAGACTAGTCCGCCACCAATCATAACATAAGCCCGGACGGGCCAGCCCTGCTCTCCTCGGGCCACACAGGGGACACCGGCCGGACTTCACTCACCCTCAGCCGTCGCCGCCATTATTTGAAGCAGCGGGTCACGTGACGTCGGTCAGCTGGACGCTCCAGCCGCCATATTGCTACACCCGGAAAGAAGGTGTTAGTGGGCGGATTCACGTGTTGCTGGACCAGGCACTCAAACTATGACAGCCTGCACATAACCCGGAAGTGGCCCTTGATCTAACTAGGGAGTCTCCTCCTTCTCTAGGAGGGGGCAAAGGATCAGTCCTTGACAGCCAGGTCAATTCCCCTGACCAATTACAAGGCTGAGAGAGAAGGCCGTGTCTGCTGCAGCCAATAAGATCCGGGGGGGGGGAGGGGCCAGGAGACTGTCAGTGGAGCGTTATTGAAATGATGAGGTTGGGGAGAATCGTGCGGGTGAGAACCGGGACCAGAACCACGGGGAGCCGAGTCGGAGCGGGGAGGAGGGGGGCGATCTGAGATATATACTGGGGAGCGGAGCCAGGGGGCGATCTGAGATATATACTGGGGAGCGGAGCCGGGGGGCGATCTGAGATATATACTGGGGAGCGGAGCCGGGGGGCGATCTGAGATATATACTGGGGAGCGGAGCCAGGGGGCGATCTGAGATATATACTGGGAGGAGTGCAGCCAGGAGGAAGGGGGTCTGAGATATATACTGGGGGAGCGGAGCCCGAGGTGGGATCTGAGATATATACAGGGGGGAGTGCAGTCGGGGGGATCTGAGATATATACTGGGGTGGAGCAGAGCGAGGGGGGGTCTGAGATATATACTGAGGGGGAACAGAGCCAGGGGGGGGGGGGTCTGAGATATATACTGAGGGGGAGCGGAGCAAGGGGGGGGGGGGATCTGAGATATATACTGGGGGGGGAGTGTAGTCGGGGGGGATCTGGGATATATACTGGGGGGATCTGAGATATATACTGGGGGGAGTGCAGTCGGGGGGGGGGGATCTGAGATATATACTGGGGGGGAGTGCAGTCGGGGGGGGGGGGGATCTGAGATATGTACTGGGGGGGGGGAGTGCAGTCGGGGGGGGGGGGGATCTGAGATATGTACTGGGGGGAGTGCAGTCGGGGGGGGATCTGAGATATATACAGGGGGAGTACAGTCGGGGGTGGGGGGGATCTGAGATATATACTGGGGGGAGTGCAGTCGGGGGGGATCGGAGATAGATACTGGGGGCGAGTGGAGCCAGGGGGGGGATGAGATATATACTGGGGAAGGGAGAGGAGCCGGGGATCTGAGATATATATACTGGGGGGAGTACAGCCAGGTGGGGATCTAAGTTATATACTGGGGGGGATCTAAGTTATATACTGGGGGGAGCAGAGCCAGAGGGGATCTGTGATATATACTGGGGGGAGGGAGTGGAGCCAGGGGGGATCTGAGATATATACTGGGGGGAGGGAGTGGAGCCAGGGGGGATCTGAGATATATACGGGGGAGGGAGTGGAGCCAGGGGGGATGAGATATATACTGGGGAAGGGAGAGGAGCCGGGGATCTGAGATATATATACTGGGGGGAGTACAGCCAGGTGGGGATCTAAGTTATATACTGGGGGGAGCAGAGCCAGGGAAGATCTGAGATATATACTGGGGGGGAGGGAGTGGAGCCAGGGGGGATCTGAGATATATACGGGGGAGGGAGTGGAGCCAGGGGGGATGAGATATATACTGGGGAAGGGAGAGGAGCCGGGGATCTGAGATATATATACTGGGGGGAGTACAGCCAGGTGGGGATCTAAGTTATATACTGGGGGGAGTACAGCCAGGTGGGGATCTAAGTTATATACTGGGGGGAGCAGAGCCAGGGGGGATCTGAGATATAGATATATACTGGGGGGAGGGAGTGGAGCTAGGGGGGATCTGAGATATATACGGGGGAGGGAGTGGAGCCAGGGGGATGAGATATATACTGGGGAAGGGAGAGGAGCCGGGGATCTGAGATATATATACTGGGGGGAGTACAGCCAGGTGGGGATCTAAGTTATATACTGGGGGGAGTACAGCCAGGTGGGGATCTAAGTTATATACTGGGGGGAGCAGAGCCAGGGGGGATCTGAGATATATACTGGGGGGAGGGAGTGGAGCCAGGGGGGATCTGAGAAATATACGGGGGAGGGAGTGGAGCCAGGGGGGATCTGAGATATATACTAGAGGGGGAGAGGAGCTGTGGGGGGATCTGAGATATATACTGGGGGGGGAATGGAGCCAGGGGGGATCTGAGATATATACTGGGGGGGGAGTGGAGCCAGGGGGGGATCTGAGATATATACTGGGGGGAGAGGAGCCGGGGGGGATTTGAGATATATACTGGGGGGAGAGGAGCCGGGGGGATTTGAGATACATACTGGGGGGGGGGTACAGCCAGGGGGGAATCTGAGATATATACTGGGGGGAAGCGGAGCCAGGGGGGATCTCAGATATATACTGGGGAGAACGGAGCCAGGAGGGTAATCTTAGATATATACTGGGGGGAGTGCAGTCGGGGGGGGGGGGGGGGGATCTGTGATATATACTGGGGGGAGTGCAGTCGGGGGGGATCGGAGATAGATACTGGGGGCGAGTGGAGCCAGGGGGGATGAGATATATACTGGGGAAGGGAGAGGAGCCGGGGATCTGAGATATATATACTGGGGGGAGTACAGCCAGGTGGGGATCTAAGTTATGTACTGGGGGGAGTACAGCCAGGTGGGGATCTAAGTTATATACTGGGGGGAGCAGAGCCAGGGGGGATCTGAGATATATACTGGGCGGAGGGAGTGGAGCCAGGGGGGATCTGAGATATATACGGGGGAGGGAGTGGAGCCAGGGGGGATGAGATATATACTGGGGAAGGGAGAGGAGCCGGGGATCTGAGATATATATACTGGGGGGAGTACAGCCAGGTGGGGATCTAAGTTATATACTGGGGGGAGCAGAGCCAGGGGGGGATCTGAGATATATACTGGGGGGAGGGAGCGGAGCCAGGGGGGATCTGAGATATATATACGGGGGGAGGGAGTGGAGCCAGGGGGGATCTGAGATATATACGGGGGAGGGAGTGGAGCCAGGGGGGATCTGAGATATATACTAGAGGGGGAGAGGAGCTGTGGGGGGATCTGAGATATATATTGGGGGGGGGAATGGAGCCAGGGGGGATCTGAGATATATTCTGGGGGGGGAGTGGAGCCAGGGGGGATCTGAGATATATACTGGGGGGAGAGGAGCCAGGGGGGGATTTGAGATATATACTGGGGGGAGAGGAGCCGGGGGGATTTGAGATATATACTGGGGGGGGTACAGCCAGGGGGGAATCTGAGATATATACTGGGGGGAAGCGGAGCCAGGGGGGATCTCAGATATATACTGGGGAGAACGGAGCCAGGAGGGTAATCTTAGATATATACTGGGGGGGAGCAGCCAGGGGGGGATCTGAGATCTATACTGGTGGAGTAAATTTGGGGGGGGGGATCTGAGATATATACTGGGGGAATACAGCCAGGGGGAGGATATGAGATATATACTGGGGGGGAGTGCAGCGGGGGGGGGATCTGAGATATATACTGGGGGGAAGCGGAGCCAGGGGGGATCTGAGTTATATACTGGGGTGAAGTGGAGCCAGGGGGGGGATCTCAGATATATATACTGGGGGGAGTGGAGATATATACTGGGGGGGGGAGCGGAGCCAGGGGGGAGTGGAGATATATACTGGGGGGGGGGGGAGCGGAGCCGCGGGGGAGCGGAGCCAGGGGGGATCTGAGATATATACTTGGGGGAGTTGAGCCAAGGGGGGTCTGAAATATATACTGGGGTATTCTTGGGTGACTGGGACCAGAGCTATATATAGCTATGTACTGGGGGAGTTGGATCTAGAGGACCAGAGCTTTATCCTGGGGGGGAATGGTGGTATATACTGGAGGTGCCAGAGCTATATACTAGCAGAGTGTAACTGGGGGGGCAGAACTATGTAGTGGGAAGGACAGGAACCTGGAGGGAGGGGATGAGAGCTATATATTGGGGCTATTGGAACTATTGGGGATCAGCTATATAGTGGGGGACTGGATTCAGCTGGACCAGAGTTATATACTGGGGGTAGCGGAGCCAGAGGGGAGAAAGACCAGAGCTATATACTGGGTGGACCAGAACCAGGGGGACTGAAGCTATATATTGGGGGAGTGGGGGGGGGGCACCAGAGCTATATACTGGGGCTCCCAGGACCTGTGGGGCATAGCTAATATACTAGGGGAGCGAAGCCAGAAATACCAGAGCTATATATTGAGGGAGGACTGAAGCCGGGGGTACTAGAGTTATGTATATAGTGGTGAGAGTGGAGCCAGGAAGACCAGTCCTATATTTTTGTGAGACGAGCAATATACCAGGGGAAAGTGAAGCCAGGAACACCAGTGCACTATATACTGGGGGAGTGGCGTCAAGTGGACCAGAGCTGTGTACTAGGGGGACAGCTGGACCGGAGCTTTATACTGGGGGGGCGGAGCCAGGGAGACCAAAGCTACATACTGGGAACAACTGGGACTGAGGAAACCAGAACTGTATACTGGAAGACCTGGATGTAGAGACACCAGAGCTATAGATGGGAGGGGGAAACAACCAGGGAGACTGGACATAGACAGGGTAACCAAGAGGATGAAAGCTATCTATGTGAGAAGTGGGGGAACTAGAGCTGTAGACAGGGGAACCAGGAATAGAAGCATTGTATACTTGAGACCCAAGTTATAGGTATAGATGGGGGAACCAGAAAAACATTTATGGCATTTTACCAGTAAATATATCTTTCCTGAGGTGTACTATAAATAGCACATCTTTGTTTTTCAGGCTTCGGCTCAGATCCATCGTGCCAACTATTCCTCTGCTGCTGTGGTAGGTTACAGTCAACTCTATAGTCTCATCACTCTGATAGAATGGACTGCTGATTTGCCGGTGCCATTTAAAAAATATTTAGTAGAATATGATCTCTGTGGGGGATTGTAGGCCACAGTGAACACAGGATTCTGAACAAACCCTAACCTCCCAACAACCAACAATCCCTGCCTATCTACTTCTCAGCACAATACCTACCTCTTGTACTGTATACTACGTCAGCACTCCAAAACCTTCTTAATTTAATTCGAAACCCTGTACAGTATTGTACATAACCAAAAACATTTCCTAGTTTTGTGCTTAAAGTAAAAACTAATGGCAAAGCTTTTTTCATTTTGGATAGAGGAAAGGGAGGGTTATAACCCCTGTCAGGTCCCCCCCCCCCAATCTGTGTCCCATTGGGGAGATTTTCCCTCATTTCCTGTTCCATAACTAAAACCGGAAGTAAGAAGAAATCCAGCCAAAATGAGGGATTTCCTGGTTGTCGCCAGAACTAGTGTTCCTATTGGAAGATTTTCCCTCTATTACTGTTCTGGGGACAACCCAAAATTTGGTGGTAATGGTAAACATGACTATTAGGGTGAATCTTTCTAACAGCAATAAAAAAAAAACTTGACATTGTTCTAATCCCTTTGCACTGAGAATGTCCAAAAACTGTCTTTAGATATACTTTAATTGCTGTGCTGTACTGTGTCTAACCAATCTAAACTGACACAGTGATCTCCTAGGTCTCCAGTCATGGGGGAATCCAATGATTTGTTGATCTCCTTGGTCTCTGGTGGTGGGGGGTAATATGACTCCATGACTTTACTGGTCTCCTGTCATGGAGGAATTCTATAACTTGGTGAGCTAATGGATCTCTGGTAATGGGGATCTATATAGTCTGGTGATCTCATCACTAACTGGTAATGGGGAAATAATTCCTGGTGAGATCATCATTCTCTAGTGATGGGGAATGATATGGTTTGGTGAGCTCATTGGTCTCTGATGGGCTCAGTGAGCCATATCATTTTCTCTGTCACCAGTCTCTAGTGATGGGGAATGATATGGCTTGATGAGCCCATCAGTCTCCAGTGATGGGGAATTATATAGTTTGGTGAGCTCATTGGTCTCTAGTGATGGGGAATGATATGGTTTGGTGAGCTCATCAGTCTCTATTGATGAGAAATGATATGGCTTTGTGAGCTCATCAGTCTCTAGTGATGGGGAATGATATGGTTTGGTGAGCTCATCAGTCTCTAGTGATGGGGAATGATATGGCTTGGTGAGCTCATCAGTTTCTAGTGATGGGGAATGATATGGCTTGGTGAGCTCATCAGTCTCTTGTGATGGGGAATGATATGGCTTGGTGAGCTCATCAGTCTCTTGTGATGGGGAATGATATGGCTTGGTGAGCTCATCAGTCTCTAGTGATGAGGAATGATATGACTTGGTGAGCTCTTCACTCTCTAGTGATGGGGAATTATATGGTTTGATGAGCTCATCAGTCACTATTGATGAGAAATTATATGGCTTGGTGAGCTCATTGGTCTGGTGAAGGGGTATAATGGCACAGTGCTATGGGTTGGAGAACTTGGTATCTGTTGGTGGTTGGGAAAGTCCCAGCCTACATCTTTACTGTAGTTTGAAGATTAAGTATGTAGTAAATGTAACTTCAATTTTATGTCCAGCAAGATGATTTCCTAACAATTGTATTTGTTTTAGCCTAGGACAAAACTCTTCATAAATGGGCAATTTGTGGATTCAGAGACCTCAGACTGGATTGATATTCACAACCCGGTAAGCTCTGGCTGGTTCTATCATAATAACATAATTGAGGAATCCAGGGAAAGTAGCCTTATGTGATAGTAGTGGGTCTTGGGGTCAGAACTTTCCACTGCTTAGCATCACCATTTGTGTCTATATAAGCCCAAACACTTTATTCATGTATGCATCCCCTGACTACTGTAGGGGAGAGAGAAATTAATATTGCTGATATTTCATGAAGGGAGTGGTTGTCTATATCTTTTTCTTTAGTCCTTGTCTCTGGTGGGTGGTGGCTAGCCACTTCTCACTTCCTTCTTTCTTATCTGGCCTCCTTTCCCTTCCTACTTCCCTGTGTCTCTGGCCAGTGATGTTCAACCACTTATCCTTCTCTGTACCAGGTAGGCAATGTTTGGCTGCCACTCCCTTCCCTCTCCTGCTTGTCTGGTGGTTTCTGGCTGGCTGGTTGCCTCTCCCTTCCTCTCCCATATAACTGTTGTGGGTGATGACTGGCCAACCTTTCCTTCCCAATGGGCCATGTGTCGGGATAGTGTGATGTCCAACCCTTTTCTACTTTTTTCTCCCCCCCATGTCTTTGACCGGTGCTCTCTGGACTGCTTCTCTCTCTCTCTCTCTCTCTCTCCCTCTCCCTCTCCCTCTCTCTCTCCCTCTCTCTCTCTCTCTCTCTCCCCCCCCTCTCTCTCTCTCTCTCTCCCTCTCTCTCTCTCCCCCCCCCTCTCTCTCCCTCTCTCCCTCTCTCTCTCTCTCTCTCTCCCTCTCTCTCTCTCTCTCTCTCTCTCTCTCTCCACACCACTCCATTGTCTTGGGCCATCAATATTTTGCTTCCGCTTGTGTTATCCAATAATATCGGGCTGGGCCTTCCAACCACATACTCTGGTGTTTAATGTTTAATCAATGAAATTTTGATTAGGTCATTTTTGGGAATTGGATTTCAAAGTATTTCTGTAATTAAAACAAATGATTGTGGATGTAAAAATATAACCGGTAAAATTGGATTCTCCTCAGGGAAGTTTGTGATTGCCTAAAAAAAAAAAAATAATAGTAAATCCATCTTTCTTCTGTTATTGGCAGACTGCTTCTGCTGTTGTTTGTGTCGTTCAAATCCCACTCCCTCATCCCGGTAATGTTTTTTATGATCTGTCAATTTCAGGCCACCAATGAGGTGATTGGACGGGTTCCCCAGGCCACTCAGAGGGAAATGGAAGCTGCAGCAAAATCCTGTGAAAAAGCATTTCCTGCTTGGTCAGAAACCTCTATCCTCAACAGACAACAGATCTTCCTGCGCTACCAGCAGCTCATCAAAGATAACCTGGTAGGAGCACCAGCCGGGGCTGTACCATGCTGGGGGTCTCTCTGAAGCCCATGAGTGACTCTTTGTAAACTTTCCTTTCAGAAAGAGCTGGCTCGTCTGATCACACTGGAGCAGGGGAAAAACTCTAGCTGATGCTGAGGGAGACGTATTTCGTGGACTACGTAAGACCCTGTAGAGATGAGCTATACATGCCACAGATCAGAATGGATTGTCTGTAGTTACATTGTGAACTTTGTCCTTTCACAGAGGTGGTGGAGCACGCCTGTAGTGTGACCTCGCTGATGCTTGGCGAGACACTCCCTTCCCTCACAAAGGACATGGACACTTACACCTTCCGCATCCCCCTGGGTGTCTGTGCTGGCATTGCACCCTTTAATTTCCCTGCCATGATCCCTCTGTGGATGTTTCCAATGGGAATGGTATGTGGGAATACTTACCTTATGAAACCTTCTGAGCGGGTTCCTGGTGCCACAATGCTTCTTGCACGTTTGTTACAAGATTCTGGAGCTCCTGATGGGACACTGAACATTATTCATGGGCAACATGCAGGTAAGAGCAGCAGTGAGATGGCTTGTGTAACATGACATGATTTGAATGACATGAGCTGGGGTTTACTACAGAACAGAAGTCTACTCTATTGTCCTTTGCTTCATAACTTAGATAAACTCAGCCTATGAAGCAGTTAAAATCGGATAGAAAAGCTGTTCACCCCTGTGAAAGCAGACGAGAGATTCTGCCTGTAGCATTCTTTCATGGGTTAAATTTTCTCTCTCTCTCTTTTTTCAGCTGTAAATTTTGTCTGTGACCATCCAGCAATTCGGGCAATCAGCTTTGTTGGCTCTAACCAGGCTGGTGAATACATTTATGAGAGGGGCTCAAAAAATGGAAAGCGAGTCCAGTCCAACATGGTATGATATATAATGGTGTGGCAAGGTCCAGCCTACCTCCTACAGATTTGTTGTCTAAATGATGTGTCTTACAGGGGGCCAAGAACCATGGGGTCATCATGCCAGATGCTAATAAAGAGAGCACCTTGAATCAGTTAGTGGGAGCGGCTTTTGGTGCAGCCGGACAACGGTGTATGGCGTTATCAACCGCTGTTCTGGTTGGGGAGGCCAAGAAATGGCTTCCAGAACTGGTGGAAAGGGCAAAGAAGTTGAGAGTAAATGCTGGTAAGAGAACAGTAATGGCTGGTTGTATGTTCTGGTTCTTGCTGGTTGTGTGTGCAAGTCCCTGCCATCGTAAAAGTGTACCTTCTACACTTGGAAGTTTTTGTGTTGGTTTATATCCACTTGATCTCTGGAAGGTTTTACCTCTTTTATGACCAGGACATTTTTTGCTATTTAGCACTCTGCTATTTTAACTGGCAATTGCACGGTCATGCAATAATGTACCAAAATTAAGTTATATAATTTTTTTTTCACACACGTAGAGTTTTCTTTTGGTGGTATTTGATCACCACTGGGTTTTATATTCTTCTATAAATGAAAGAAGACACATTTGAAACATTTTTTTTTTCTTTCTGCTATAAAAGACATCCAATTAAAAAAAAAAAAAAAATTCTTCATTAATTTAACACAAAATGTACTCTGTCTTTTGGTTAAAAAAAAAACAACACCATAAGTGTATATTGATTGGTTTGTGTGCAAGTTATAGCGTCTACAAACTATGATGTGTGTGTGTGTGTGTGTGTGTGTGTATATGTGTATATATATATATATATATGAATTTATTTATTTTATATTTGTAATGGCGATGATCAGCGACCTTATAGTGGGACTGTGATGGCGTGGTGGGCAGTCTGACACTAGCTGGGAGGTACACTAACTACCTGACTGACACCACCAGTGACACTAATAAAGTGATCAGTGATAATACTATACACTGTCACTGTACTAATAACACTGGCTGGGAAGGGGTTAACATCTAGAGGCAGTCAAAGGGTTAATGGTGTGCCTAACAATGTGTAATGTGTGTTGTTTATATTTAGTTTGTTCCTCAAACAGATTATTACCTCTGTACAGAGCCCTGTGTTTGTCAACACAGGGCTCTGGACTGTGATTGGATGCAGCCGGGAGAGGTTGGTGTGGGTGCACGTGTGCCCTGAACCTGGAAGGCACTAACGATGTACAGGTACGTGATTGTGCCTGTACGAGCTGCCCAATGCAAGTGGATATTTTACGCGTTCCATGTACTGTTACTGGAACCACTGGCTCTGTATCCATATTATCTGGCTGTAGTAATGACAGATTACCAGGAATGAGGTCTTGTGATGCTCTACTTGACCACTAGTACTACTTTACAACTGTAGCCTTTATTTAGTTTGCTTTCCCTCTAATATATTCCATGCTTCTTCTTGATGCAGGGGACCAGCCTGGGGCCGATTTGGGGCCGCTGATTAGTAAAACGGCGAAGCAGAGAGTGTGCAGCCTGGTAGAAAGTGGTGTAAAGGAGGGTGCCACTTTGCTGCTGGATGGCAGAGAAGTCAAAGTAAAGGGCTATGAGGATGGCAACTTTGTAGGACCAACTATCCTGTCCAATGTGACGGTACGTGTATGAGAATAGCAATGTACAGCTTCAGGCCACTGCAGGAAGGTAAATTACCATGATACAGCAGTGTTATCTATATATAGAGGTTGTGGAGGTTTGCAGAAAAACAGCAAAATCAGAAGAGGGGCCCTGTATAGTACAGATTAGACCTTTCATGGATCCCAGGCCACCAGTTATATGGCTATGTATAGGATGTGGTGTATATTAAGGGGCAGGATACATGTTAGGGGTAATGGTTTAGGTGTTTAGTTATTACTATTGGGGGGGGGGGGGGGGGTTAAAGAAAAAGCTGATTTTGTGTTCCCTTATGATTCTTGCAGCCAGACATGACCTGCTACAAGGAAGAAATCTTTGGCCCAGTTCTGGTTGTACTAGAAGCAGAAAACTTGGATGACGCAATTAATATTGTAAATGACAATCCTTATGGCAATGGCACAGCCATCTTTACTACAAATGGAGCCACAGCACGGAAGTACACTCACCTTGTAGATGTGGGCCAGGTACGTACAAGCCTTAGGGATGAGTGGGGTGCCATTATTGAACTTTAATGTTCACGCGGGTTGGATATTATTGCTATCAATGAGGGACATATTGTTTTTAGCCCTGGAAATCTGACAGGTTTGTAATAGGCAGTATGTGGTGTCGCAGTCACTGCTTATAATGAAAATATGGCTCTTATAGGTGGGTGTCAATGTTCCTATCCCTGTGCCTCTGCCAATGTTCTCATTCACCGGATCTCGAGCTTCATTCAGGGGTGACACCAATTTCTATGGGAAGCAGGTAAGCTCAGAGGGCCTGGCACATGATGGGGCGTTTTTAATTGCTATAGGTGTGGGTTGTGTTAACTTTCTGTTTGTCTTTAGGGGATTTATTTCTACACCCAACTTAAAACTGTCACCTCTCAGTGGAAGGAAGAAGATGCTACAGTAACCAGCCCAGCTGTGGTGATGCCAACAATGGGTCGTTCATAAAGTTGCTGACTTGTCTGTACTCTGGAGTGATAGGGGCTCTGCAGAGGCCTCTAGGGAGGGCCATACTACAAATGGATCTCATGGGGCCCTGTGTATCCACTCCATATGTCTGTAAACACTCGTGATGGACAATATCTGACTAAAAGAATGTCATGTTTATTTCCTACACTACTGTATTAATATACAAAAAAATAAAAGCTAACCAATCCGTTCCTAATATGTACAGAAATATCCAGAATTCTGCCAGTACAGTATAGATTATTTTGGTTTTTGGGGTTCTTTAGGGAAACCTTCAGTTCAGACAAAATCATTGGCAAACCTCTACAATTCAGTTTAGATCCACTTAAAAGATAAGTTCACCTTTGGAACGTGTTAAAATGTTCCACTTGTTTTTAGCAGCAGCTGCAGCCACTCCTCTCTGATTTTCTCCAGCCCCTCAGGGGATCCTCTCCTGCTACTTGCTGTCCCAATTTAAAACTGGCGGGGGATCCACCCACACGGCTGCATCATTCATTTACAATTTCCTTCGAATGAATGCCTACAAGTACTGTCAGACATTGCAGATGACTGCTTGTAGTTCTCAATGAGCTGCAAGGGGCCGGTGCCTGTTTATCTTCCTGCTCTCGGGTAACTGCCTTCACGTACAAGGTACGAGCAGACAGCTATGCTGAGTCTGCAGGAACCTGAGACTGCACCCGCAATCTGCTAGTCTCAGGTACAATTCTCTGCAGGCTCCTTTAAAAAATGCACAATTTATTTTTAATCTACAAAAAAAAAGTTCAATTTATTTTTTATTTTATTTTTTTAAGGTGAGCTTATCCTTTTAATATTCTTATAAGGATGAACTGCAGCAGGCACTATGGAATTTATTGGAAGTTTTAGATACTATACATTAGCAATGCTGAAAGTGGGTGTACCCACTTTTGCACAGATCAGCCAGAGGACCCTGCATGTCACAAGCAAACCAAATTCTTGCGTAGAATATTAGTTTTTCTATCAAACAATATATTCAAAAGATGAAGGAAAAAAAAAGACACAGGGAACATAGCTCTTCTTATAGATCATTTATTACATCATGAGTCACTTCATAATATGGGAAAGACTGATCATCCAGAAGGAAAAGGTAGGGAGAGGATATGAGCATGATTCTGGGTCTCAGGCCACAGTGTGACATTTTGCCGGATGGATATCTGGTAAAAGCCCACTGGATGTAGATTGTTCTGGAACTTGCTGTGTTATGAAGATTGTATTGTCTGATGTCTCTGCAGTTTCCCTGGAGATAAAACAAAGGTCATTGCCTGTACAGTTTCCCCCAGAGACTCTGGTGAATGGCTAGATACCATGGGGAAAACTACTAAAGCTGGAGCACTTAGAATCTGGTGCAGCTGTACATGGCAGCCAATCAGCTTTTAACTTCAGCTTGTTCAATTAGGTTTTGACAAAAAAAAACCTGATTGGTTTCTAGGCAGACCTGCAGCAGATTTTGCACGCTCCAGCTTTAGTAATTCTCTCCACATGTGTATACTGAATTTGGACAACCAAGTAGAATCTGGCAGCCACAATATGGTCTCTATCTTTTCACCCAGATAGGGAATGTTTGTAGCTTTTTTGGTGAACAGCCTGCAACTGATAATCCCAAATACAAAAACCCACCACCAAGGAGGTTTACTAGATGGTAAGCTACAAAACATTGCAGGCTGTGCACATGTATGCCAGCATAACTCTTAAAAGAGCTTCTAATTCCACTCCTACCTTTTACTTTTTACAGTTAGATGGGTATTGTGGCCTTCACATCATACCTGGATTGTGGCTCTCTAGTTGCAGAAAACGTCACAGCTTGTAACCTAGCCCCCTTTTTCCTGGCATTAAAGAGCAAAAGTCAGCACATTTCCAAGAAAGTGAGCAAGTGATAGCTTGTCACCTCCAATCACTTACCGGGGAACCGAAGCATTCATTTTTGCAAACAAAAGTCTCAGGACCTTCTCCTTCTGCTCCCAGGTTAGATCTGCAATGTCCACTTTTCCACTCTCTATGTGAGACCTAATGTGCAGACAGAAAAAAGCAGAGTATGCTGGTAACACCAGTGAGATGAACTATAAGTGTATGCACAGTAGGAAAGGGATGTATTAAAATCCTAGGGGTAAGAGAGAGCAGCTATGGGATGGGGTGCGTAATGATCATAGCAGGAGAGTTGTGTAGTGTGACCATAATGGGGGTTGGGTATATTAGGATTATAGCAGTAGGAGAGGGGTGTAGTGGGACCATAATGGAGAATGGGTATATTGGGATCATAGCAGTAGGGAAGAGATGTACTGGGGCCATAATGGGCAGCAGTAGATTAGGAATATAGCAGTAGGAGATGCATGCAGTGGGATCATAACATTGCACAGGCATATTAGAATCATAGCAGTAGGAGAGGGGTGTTGTGGGACCATAATGGAGGATGGGTATACAGGAGTGTCGTGGGGCCATGATGGAGGATGGGTATACAGGAATCATAGCAGTAGGAGAGGGTTGTAGTAGGGCCATAATGGAAGATGGGTATACAGGAATCATAGCAGTAGGAGAGGGTTGTAGTGGGGCCATAATGGAGGATGGGTATACTGGAATCATAGCAGTAGGAGAGGGTTGTAGTGGAGCCATAATGGAGGATGGGTATACAGGAATCATAGCAGTAGGAGAGGGTTGTAGTGGAGCCATAATGGAGGATGGGTATACTGGAATCATAGCAGTAGGAGAGGGTTGTAGTGGAGCCATAATGGAGGATGGGTATACTGGAATCATAGCAGTAGGAGAGGGTTGTAGTGGAGCCATAATGGAGGATGGGTATACTGGAATCATAGCAGGAGAGGGTTGTAGTGGAGCCATAATGGAGGATGGGTATACTGGAATCATAGCAGGAGAGGGTTGTAGTGGAGCCATAATGGAGGATGGGTATACTGGAATCATAGCAGTAGGAGAGGGTTGTAGTGGGACCATAATGGAGATGGGTATATTGGGATCATAGCAGTGAGAGAGGGGTGTAGTTAGACCATAATGGGTATATTGGAATCATAGTGGTAAGAAGGAGGATGGCTGTTCTTTGTTTTAGGAGAGGTGTGTAGTGAGACCATTATAGGGTGCTGGGTATATTGAGACCATAGTTGTAGGAGAAGAGTGTACTGGTACCATAATAAGTGACATTTACATATAATGATCGTGGTGGCACCAAAATAGAGGACAGGTATATTGGGATCATAGAGGTAGGAAGGTGTGTAGAGGGATCATAATGGATGAACAATGCGAATGAGGCAGAGGTGCAGTCAGGCTATATTGAGGCAACAGTGACATAGTAAAGGCAGGGGTGTGCTGTGTTCATATATTGGCACATGGGTGTATATGAAGTGAGCTAGAAGGGCAGCTAGGATGTACACAGTGATTAGTTTTTATACTTGTTACCATTTCTCAGCCTCTTGGAGATCTTGATTGACATCATTGGTACTGTGTTCCTTGTTATGGAAGGTTCTTATTTTGGGGTAGTGCTCTATTCCCGCAGCTGCCTGCATCATACGGCTGTTGTAGGCTGCCTGTGCCATCTTCTGATAATAGTTTTGGCTGGATTTGATTTCCTGTTTCACCTGCTCCAGAGCTTCCAGAAAGAAGTGTTCTACCTCTGTTCTCTCCTGTAGGATATTGTGGGCAAGCTTTTTAATGCGGTTCATTTCTCGATCCTTGATCTCCAAGAGCCTTTGGAGCTTCTGCAGTTCTGCACCTCCTGCCTGGTTTTCTCCTTGTATCTGAAGATGCTTCTTTTGCATTCTGTCCTCTGTTTCCATCCTCATCTCTACAGCATGCTCCAGGGTTTGCACAGTCTTCTGTAACTCCTGGATCTGTGTGTTTTTATGAGAAACTTGCAGAACTTTTTCTTGAACCAACTTTTCACTGGTTTCCTGGGCCAAGATGAAAGAAATGGGGACATAGTGTCATATACTGTATGTCTCATATTAGGCTTTATTCACTAATATGGATGAGCTATCATAGAACTATTTGTTCTTTTTCTCATAATTTTCTGCTGAAAATTCACAAACAGAAATACTGCTCAAATGTGGATATCTATTTAGATGAAATGGGTGTCAACTATAAAAGAGCCTTATTTTTTCATTAGCGGGTTTTAAAAACCACCACAGTCTTCCTCGCCTTAAAAAGCACCCCATTGAAGCTAGCAGCATGTAAGGCTTTTGTGTAATATTCTAGGTAAATCCATGTTTTTAAGAAAATTGATATAACAACATCTATCTAGTAAATTCATCTTATTCCTGTGGAAATGCAAGAGGGTAAGGATGGGGTGATAGTCTGCAGAGATGCAGGAGAAGGTAGGATGGCAGGATGAAAAGCCATAGGAGAGCAGAAGCAGGACAGGCTGGACTGGAGAGAGTGACAGTTTGCAGAGACCTAAGAGACTGGAAGAGTAAAAAGCTGCAAAGCTACAGGGGAGTGGAGGGTGACAGGCAGCAAAGACGTAGGAGAGAGGAAGCAGGACAGGCTGAAAAGATGCTGGACCAGGCAGGGGTGACATTTTGCAGAGATCCAAGAGAGAAGGGTACAAAGCAGCAAGGAGATGTGAGGGTGGCAGGCTGCAGAGACTCAGGAACAGGGAGGGTGACAGGATGCATAGAGGAAAAGATGGAGTATATATATAAATTGTTTTGGGCATCAATTCGCTAAAAGAACATTGGGGAATTGGAGAAAGTACAGAGAAGGGCAACTAAACTAATAAGAGGCATGGAGGAGCTCAGCTATGAGGAAAGATTAGAGGAACTGAATTTATTCTCTCTTGAGGAGATTAAGGGGGGATATGATCACCATGTATAATACATAAGGGGGGATATGATCTCCATGTATAATACATAGGGGGGGATATGATCACCATGTATAATACATAAGGGGGGGGATATGATCACCATGTATAATACATAGGGGGGGGATATGATCACCATGTATAATACATAAGGGGGGGGATATGATCACCATGTATAATACATAAGGGGGGGGGATATGATCACCATGTATAATACATAGGGGGGGATATGATCACCATGTATAATACATAAGGGGGGATATGATCTCCATGTATAATACATAGGGGGGGATATGATCACCATGTATAATACATAAGGGGGGGGGGATATGATCACCATGTATAATACATAGGGGGGGGATATGATCACCATGTATAATACATAGGGGGGGGATATGATCACCATGTATAATACATAAGGGGGGGGGGGGATATGATCACCATGTATAATACATAAGGGGGGGGGATATGATCTCCATGTATAATACATAAGGGGGGATATGATCTCCATGTATAATACATAGGGGGGGGGGGGATATGATCACCATGTATAATACATAAAGGGGGGGATATGATCTCTATGTATAATACATAAAGGGGGGGATATGATCTCCATGTATAATACATAAGGGGGGGGATATGATCACCATGTATAATACATAAGGGGGGATATGATCTCCATGTATAATACATAGGGGGGGGATATGATCTCCATGTATAATACATAGGGGGGGGGATATGATCACCATGTATAATACATAAAGGGGGGGGGATATGATCTCTATGTATAATACATAAAGGGGGGGATATGATCTCCATGTATAATACATAAGGGGGGGATATGATCTCTATGTATAATACCTAAAGGGGGGATATGATCTCCATGTATAATACATAAGGGGGGGGGGATATGATCACCATGTATAATACATAAGGGGGGGGATACGATCTCCAAGTATAAATACATCAGGGGTTCATATAGTGAACTTGGTGTAGAGCTATTCACCCTGAGGTCATCACAGAGGACAAGGGGGCACTCTTTACGTCTGGAGGAAAATAAATTTCATCTCCAAACACAGAAAGGTTTATTCACAGTAAAAGTTGTGAAAATGTGGAATAGACTCCCTCAAGAGTTGGATCTGGCCAGCTCAGTGGATTGCTGTAGGAAAGTCCTGGATTCTTTCTTAGATACACAAAATAATAACTGGATATAACATTTATAGGTAAAGTTGATCCAGGGAATATCCGATTGCCTCTCGGGGGATCAGGAAGGAATTTTTTTCCCTGCAGGAGCAAATTGGGTCGTGTTTTGCTGGTTTTTTTTGCCTTCCTCTGGATCAACTGTGGGTATAGGATTCTAACTTTTTTTTTTTTTTTTAAATAGTTGAACTGGATGGACTTTTGTCTTTTTCAGCCACACTAAATATGTAACCATGTGCATAACACAGTAAGCAGGGTTTATAGACACAGCCAGCCAAGAAAGGGGAAGAGTTACAATCAGCCATTAACCTATGGCAATTCAAAAATAGAAATCAATATAAAAGGAGGGGTTGTTGCTATGAATATGTTATTCTGCAGGAAGTTCCATAACTCCACATTGTCCCCAACAAGTGATATAAATTCCTTCTTTATCAAGTGGGATAGAATAGAAGCCAGACCTTTCTTTCCCATCCTAAATTCTGCTTCCTTTCTATATGTATACCTATGCATGGCAGGAAGTCCGTGCCTTGTGGAAATGTAAAGCACTAGGATTAGTAATAAAATTATTGCAAGTATTATGGGTTAATGATTTGAGCCTGTTGTGTCTGCTAAAGATGGAAAATAGCTTACAATAAATACGTGGGCAGATATCTACTATACATAAAGAAAAGATGAAGGCTATGTAAAAAATAGCCTCATATCCTACTACTATCAGGAAGGCAGAGATTTGTTGTATGCAGATGGTGACACCACCTTCTCCTGCAGTAGATGCTCCTTCTCCTCCTTCAGTTGTGTGGTGGCTTTCTTTAAATTCCGTGCTTCATCCACATGATAAGAAATAGCCTCTTTCAGGCGTACATTCTCCCTGAAGACAGATCTTCCTGCATCATCCAGCTGCCTGTGAGAAAAGAACAATGCATTGGGAACAGGCTTCTGTTGACAGTAACATTTTGTGTGAAATGATGCATATGGAGGACCAAATGCAGGATCAGAAACTGCACATTTCTCTCAAACAATGACAGTACACCAAGGACCAACACCCTACACTGAGACCCAATATCATATAAGAAGACCCAACCACACTCTGAAAACCAACACTGTACACTGAGACCCAACACCGTATTCTAAGACCTGACATTGACTGTACAATCTGACCCAACCGTACACCGGAAACCAACACTGTACATTGAGACCCAAAAGTATACACTTAGGCCTAGCCTTGGCTGTGCACACAGACCCAATAGCACAATGAAATCCAACATGCTGCACTCAGACCCAACATCCAGTGCACAGAGAACCAACAGCATGCTTTTACAATCAAGCACTTAATATACTCTTAGACCCAATGCTGCACACGAAAACCAAACATGAAATACACATCCAGACCCTACACCAACCAACACACACTGAAAACCAAGACTACACTGAGACCCAACATCATACACTAAGATTCAACATAAATTGTACAACCAGACCCAACCACATACTGAGAAAGCAAACAATTTATAGCTCTGGCCAGAAGTTTTGAGAATGACACAAATATTAATTTACCAGCAAGGAAACACGTGCAGTCATCATTGCTTTGCACAATAAGGGATTCACAGGCAAGAATATTGCTGCTACTAAGATTGCACCTAAATCAACCATTTATTGGATCATCAAGGAGAGAGGTTCAATTGTTGTGAAGAAGGCTTCAGGGCACCCAAGAAAGTTCAGCAAGGGCCAGGACTGTCTCCTAAAGTTGATTCAGCTGCGGAATCGGGGCACCACCAGTGCAGAGCTTACTCAGGAATGGCAGCAGGCAGGTGTCATGCATCTGCACGTTCAGTGAGGTGAAGACGTTTGGAGGATGACCTGGTTCCAAGAAGGGCAGCAAAGAAGGTACTTCTCTCCAGGAAAAAACATCAGGGACAGACTGATGTTCTGCAAAAGGTACAGGGATTGGACTGTTGAGGACTGGGGTAAAGTAATTTTCTTTAATGAATCCCCTTTCCGATTGTTTGGAGCATCCAGAAAAAACCTTGTCTGGAGAAAAAAAGGTGAGCACTACCATCAGTCCTGTGTCATGCCAACAGTAAAGCATTCTGAGATCATTCATGTGTGTGGTTGCTTCTCAGCAAAGGGAGTAGACTCACTCACAATTCTGCCCAAGAATACAGTCATGAATAAAGAATGGTACAAAAACACCCACCGAGAGCAACTTCTCCCAACCATCCAAGAACAGTTTGGTAACGAACAATGCCTTTTTGCCAGCATGGAGCACCTTGCCATGAGACAAACGTGATAACTAAGTGGCTTGGCGAACAAAACATCGAAATTTTGGGTCCATGGCCAGGAAACTCCCCATACCTTAATCCCATTGAGAAGTTGTGGTCAGCCCTCAAGAGGCAGGTGAAAAAAAAAAAAAAAAAAAAAAAACACACAAATTCTGACAAACTTCAAGCATTGATTATGCAAGAATGGGCTGCCATCAGACAGGATTCGGCCCAGAAGTTGATTGACAGCATACCAGGGCGAATTGCAGAAGTCTTGAAAAAGAAGAGTCAACAAGGCATATATTGTCTCTCTGCATAAAATTAATGTAATTGTCAATAAAAGCCTTTGACACTTATGAAATGCTTGTAATTATACTTCAGTATACCGTAGTAACATCTTACTAAAATCTAAAAACACTGAAGCACCAGACTGAAAATTAATATTTGTGTCATTCTCAAAACCTTTGGCCAGGGCTGTGCATTGAGACCCAACACCATCTATAAACACCCAAGACTGACCATACACCCAACGCTAACTGCATACTTAAACCCAACACTGCACACTGAGACACAATGCCAAATACTAAAACTCAAAAGAAACTCTACACCCAACCCCACTCTGGGAACATAGAATGCCTGTAGGAAAAGAAAGAACAAGGAATGGAGTTCAGGGGTTCTGTTACCAGCAACAGAGATGATTCATACTGAGTACCAAATACAGGATCAGACTACATTTCCTTCACACAATGACAAAATACCAAAGCCCATTACTGTTCACTAAGACCCAACACCCAAAACCAGACTCCAAATGCACACTGAAATCCAACACAAGGACAACATTAGATTGTTTTCATAGATTAAAAAAACCCTATGATAATGAAAACCAAAACTGTAGCCCGAGGAATAGCACTAGCTCTCTATGAAGGCCCAATACCACCTGTACTTCCAAAACTAACACTAACTGTAAACTGAGAACCACAATTGTAAGTTTAGAACCGATACAATGACTGTATACTGAAACCCAATGCCCACTTCACATCCAGACACAATACGGAGTGTACACTGAAAACCAAAACTGTATGCTGAGAATTGACAGGGACTGTATACCAAGACCTATTATTAAATATACACCAAAACCAACACTGACTTACAAAGACCCATAGCCATATGCTGAGAAGTGACTGTGTACCAAAACCCGATACCAAATGTACAGTACGTCCAAAACCAACACTGATTGTACACTGAGAACCTCAACTGCATGTTGAGAACTGACACGGCGACTGTACACAATGACCCAATGCCAACTGTATACCCAAAACCAAAGCTTACTCTACAATGAAAACCAAAAATGTAAGCTGAGAAGTGACACAGATGAGAACCAATACCAATTGTGTGTCCAAAACCAACAACAGTGACTACACTGAGAACAAAACTATATGTTGAGAACTGACTTAATGACTGTATACTGAGACCCATTTCTATCTCTACATCCGGATACAACACTGAGTGTACAGTAAAAAACAAAACTGTATGCTGAGAAATGACAGTGACCATATATTAAGATCCAATACCAACTGTACACCCAGATGCAGCACGGAGTGTGCCAAAAAATCAAAACTACACTGAGGTCCAACATTAACCAAGATTCAACGCTGACTGTCCTCCCAAATCTTGCAGCAACTGTACAGTGAAACCCAACACTGCACATGGAGGCCCACCAATGTACACTGAGACCAAATATTGACTGTGCACCAGATATCAAGCTGAGGTTCATCAAAACACTGTGCTGTCCTAAAACTATGTGCCAAGACCCAATTAGGATTGCCATCTTGTTTTCAAGCCAAACTCCAAACTCGAACACTTCAGTGGCAAATCTTCCCCTCCCCTTGGAGAAATCGATCACAGTCCTCTTCTATCAGTGCCCGGCCCCTTAGAGACCCTCCCATAAGATCAGAGTCCCCTTATATCATCTCTCTCCTTAGATTAGAGACCCCCATTAGATGACAGTCCCTTTATATCAGTGCTCCCCCTTAGAGACTCGTCCCATTCGATCAGGGTCCTTTTATAGACCCCCCATTAGATTAGAGTCTGCTTATATCAGCACCCCCCCTTTTGAGACCTCTCATTCAAGCAGAGTCTCTTTATATCTGCACCCCCCCTTCCTTAGAGACAACCCCATTATATCAGAGTCACCTTATATCAGCACCCCCCTTTGAGATCTTCCATTAGATCAGAGTCTCTTTACATAAGCACCCCCCCCCCCCTTAGAGACCCCCCATTAGCTCAGAGTACCCTTATATCAGCACCCCCTTTTGAGACCTCCCATTCAATCAGAGTCTCTTTACATCAGCACCCCCCTTGAGACCCCCCCATTAGCTCAGAGTCCCACTATATCAGTACCCCCCCTTTGAGACTTCCGATTTGATCAGAGTCCCCTTATATCAGCACCCCCCTTAGAGACCCCCGATTAGCTCAGAGTCTCTTTACATCAGCACCCCCCCCTTAGAGACCCGCCATTAGCTCAGAGTCCCCTTATATCAGCACCCCCCTTTGAGACTTCCGATTCGATCAGTCTCCTTATATCAGCACCCCCTTCCTTGGAGACAACCCCATTATATCAGAGTCACCTTATATCAGCACCCCCAGCCCCCCTACAGACCTTCATTAGATCAGAGTCTCCTTACTTCAGCACCCCCCCCCCCCCCCCCCCATTAGATCAGAGTCCTGTTAGATCAGCACCTGCCTTAAGAGACCACCCATTAGATCAGAGACCCCTTATATCAGCACCCCCCACCACCTTAGCTCAGTGTCCCCTACCTCTTAAAGACTACAATTAGACTGCCTTACCAGGCGAGAGCCATGAAGTGGGAGCCAGAGTTGGAGACGAAGCAGCCCTGATAGTGCTATATTTCTTCAACTGTGCACAGTATGCGTCCGAGTTTCAGGCGGACTGATACCTGGACAAAGGATTCCAAACTCGGACTGTCCAGGTGAATCCGATACCCAACTCTGGCTGTACCTACTTAGACAAACCTCATTTACACACAGACATAACTCTATGCCAAGGATCAACACTGACTACACCAAGACCACACAGTGTCGCCAGATTCAGGGCAGAGCAGGCACAAACTGTACACTTGATAGGCATCAGTCATGAAGGGACAAACGTGGTAGTTACAGAAGAACTTTAGAAAAAGGAGTTTTAGACCAGTCAGTGCCAGGCAGGAAGAGTAGATCTGTAGAGAACAGACTGTAGAAAGAAGGCTCAGACAATCAGGATTTTATTCTTACATGATGGCCTCATTATGAGCTTTTTCTGCCAGCATCACAATTTTCTTCTCTGCCTCTTTCTCCAGGCGTTGCTGAGGAAAACATTTAACCGTTAGGTCAATAAATGTCAGATATTGCGGCACTGGTTGATCTATCTCCTCCAGAGGCCTTGTACACCAGAAGGGACATCCAAGCTCTACCTATCTTGACCAGGGGTTCCAAAAACTTTGCATAGAAATGTATGTTATGAGTACAGTACATGGTACACTTTGATTAATCTCAAGCTCAGAAAATCTTTTCCTTGTTCTAAGTGGGCTACAGCCATCATCAATACTAAGAATAACAGAAACTGACAACATTTATCTAGCAGTAGATAGTAAATGATCCCTCCCAAAATATGAAACTTCAGAGCTGTGAAGACAATCGTATCCTTGTGATATCTGCCCTGGAAGCAGTCGAAACAAGCAAACTGTGGACTCCTTCTGCCCTAAACACCAAAACCCACCCTGCTGGTGCTGAGAAGAAGCCTTGTGTTGCCATTTAGGCTGGCCTCTCCTAATCTGGAACAATCAGAATTTTGTGTTATCTATCACTCTCTGAAAATCCATATCAACTATTTGTGTTCTGTGTGATCATCTCACCTCTGGAGTCATACATTTTAATTTGCACAAGTACAACAAAGGATCACATGAAAAATCCAACCAGACGGACTACCAGACAGGCCAGTCTGCTGATATTCACATAGATAGATATTGCTATATGATACGAAAACAAAGAAAAACAAGTTTTGGACCCAAAACCAAACCTTCCCAGAACCTGGGCTCTTTAAATAATCCTGTAAATTTAGACCAATGCATGATAAAAATATACAGTTTTACAAAGTAATTTGTGCATAATGGACAGTGTTAGGGGGATTATATATGGTTTTATATTTGTCTATGTGATATGTGTTTAATATATTTGATTTTCATGATGCATTGGACTCTAGATTTACAGCAGGATTATTTAAAGAGACCCAGTTCTTAGAAGGTTTGGTTTACTCCAAAACTAGTTTTTATTTATTGTTTTCTTATGGATTACTTTCTAGGGACTCCAAAATCATCACGATACTCATGAGGTCCCATTTTTGATGGAGCCAAGTGATTTTGAGGACCTGGAGGGAATTCTGTAAGTTTTGGATACTGCTATACAATGCACTGTATTGTGTGATAGTTGTTTATGGTGTACAATGCAGTATATTGCCAAAACATCCAAACGAAACCTAGAATAGACAGTGTGTATGTGTGTATATATATATATATATATATATATATATATATATATACATACATACACACACGCAGTCCAATCCACTGGACAAGCTACTGTAGCTCAGATTGCTGAAAAATGTAATGCTGGTTCAGATAGAAAGGTGTCAGAACACACAATTCATTGTAGTTTGTTGTGTATGGGGCTTGGTAGCTGTAGACTGATCAGGGTGCCCATGCTGACCTGTGTCCATAGCCTAAAGCACCTACAATGAGCATGTGAGCATATCAGAACTGGACCATGGAGCGATGTAAGAAGGTGACCTGGTCTGATTGATGAATTAAAAAATGGTTTGAGGACCACAATAATGAGTTTGAGGTGTTGACTTGGCCTCAAAATTCTCCACATCTTAATCCAATCGAGCATCTGTGGGAAAAACAAGTCCAATGCCTTGAAGTTCAACTTGCAACTTACAGAACTTAAGGGATCTGCTACTGACGAATTGGTGCCAGAAACTACAGCGTACCTTCAGAGGTCTAATGGCATCCATGCCTCGATGGATTATAGTAGGTAGTCATAATATTATGGCTGATTGGTGTGTGTGTGTATATATATATATATATATATTTATATAATGTTTACACTGTATATACCTGTATACCTGTACAATATTTCTACTGGTTGTTTTCAAATTCAATTTAAAAAATTAATTGTTTTATTGTAGACTCTGGATTAATAGAGGGGTGGTAAACCACTTGTGATTTGTATTATGTACTGTATTGTATTGTGTGTGATTGATCCTGATGTATGATGCACTGTACTGTGTAATGATTGGTCAACAGTCCTTCTAAAATGGCAGAGACTGCCTTGGATGTGGCATTTACTCTGCCCTCTATAAAGTGGTGCTGTGCATGACACACACACAATATGGTACAGATCTGGACACCAGATATAGATGGCTCTTCTGTCATTGCCCTGTTTAGTACTCATCAAAGGCCACAAATGTTGCATATGGAGAACCTTATACGATTCTACGGTTTAGCATTCTGGAAAGTCTCCAACACGGTGCTGGTGATATTTATTAGTTCTGCACTGCTGATTATTAAATGCAAGGAATGTGTAGTGTGTAGGCATATTGGGGTTTGCTAAGTGATAGTTGTTCTAATACAGACAAATAAGCAGTGCAATAATTGTCATACACTCAATCTAGTGATAACCTGCAACATACATAAATAAGGAGGACGCCATCTTGGTTACTGGCCAGTATGAAGGATTGTATGAACCAGGATTTTTATTTGATATACAGAGCATCCTTTTATTCATAATACCATTTGAGTGTTTTCAATCCTTTTTAAATAAAACTGGCTATATTTCTGTATTAGTACTACACTTTTATTTATCAGTACTGGGTATCAAAATACAGTGTAAGCAGCTCTGGAGGTTGTTTATTCCAAGCACAGATTAATTTATACATATACTGTATATTTGTTGCTCTGCCTCACTGACGATGAGACACATCATTACCCCAAATGACCCGTCAGGCCACCATTGTTCTAACCTTGTCCTGGAAGAAGCGCCTCTCCATTGCTGCCAGTGACTCTTTATGCTCATGGTTAGCTCGGCGCAGGCTTTCTTTAATCTGTGTAGAGAGAGCATGTAGTTGAATCCATATCAGCAGAAAATTGGGCAGTAGGATGGCTTACAAAGCATGTGATATCACCTCATCCAGCTCCTTCTCCATTTCTGCTTTACGTCTGCGAAATTCCTTCATCATCCTGAACTCTGCCTGAATTATCTGAATTTGCCGAGTCTTCTGGGAACATTTCTCTTCCAAGTTGGCAATTTGCTTCTTGAATTCCTCTATCTGTGAAAAGACTTCACAATGTCAGGGTGGAAAGGAGGGAGAGTACCTGCCCTTGATATGTCATTTTTAGTGGAGTTCAGTCCAGGGGCGGGCTGACAACTCATGGGGCCCTCGGGCAATAGGGGATCATGGAGCCCCTGTGTCCTTGCCCAAACTCAAAAAAGCCTATGAAAAAGGTACCAGGGGCATCTCATGGAGCCCCCTACTGACCCCCGGGCCCTCGGGCAGTGCCCGAGTTTCCAAATGGTCAGTCCGCCCCTGGATCAGTCATAAGGCATTGACAAATAGATAATTGGAGACTCATGTAGAAGAAAAGCCAGGTGGACAGATTATGTTTTGGGTAGAGAAGAAGATATATGAGGTCTGTGCAACATATTTATATCCTATTATGAATCCACCGCTAGTCAATAAATGCTGCTCCATATGGGAGACAGAAGATGGAAACTGGCAGTTAGGAAGGACAGTCACTCACCAGTTCTTGTCTCTCTTCATTTGCCTGTTTCTTCTCCGCTGACAGTTGTTGCTGTAATTCTTCAATCTTTTGGGACAAAATAGAGACAGAATCTGTAGTAGAGGGACTTGGTACACTCTATATGGTTTCAGACCTTTACAAGTAGTGAGTGCCATAGTGATCAATAACAGTCGGCGCTGCTGTCCATACATCCATAAAGAATGTCATCAGCACATGACAGTTGCTTAAATGGAGCCTTTAGTTAGTCACAAAAAACAACAGCAATGTTTCGGAGCTCCTTCCTCAGCCAACAGTGATATGTTTTAAAACAAACCAGTACATTTTAAATAGTGTTCAGAATGAATTATTGCTCACAATACACAAAAATATGAATTCATGCAAATTACTCAATAGGAGAACCATTGGGGGATTCAAGGATGGAAAAAGATCTGGGGGTCTTAGTAGATCACAGGCTCAGCAATGGCATGCAATGTCAAGCTGCAGCAAGCAAACCTAGAAGAATATTAGAATTCCCAAAAAAAAGGGGATTTACTCCAGAGATAAAACTATAATTCTACCACTTTACAAAACTCTGGTCCGGCCACATCTGGAGTATGCCATCCAGTGGTGGTCACCAATCCTTAGAAAGGATGTGCTGGAACTGGAGAGAATCTGCACAGGGGATTCTTTACTGTTAGAGCGGTAAGGATGTGGAACTCCCTACCACAATCAGTGGTGTCAGTGGTAAGTAGCAATAGTTTAAAAACTCTAAGATGGGCATTTTAGCGAATGCAACATTAAGGAATATGGGAAATGATATTGACACACATACACACACCCACACAGGATGAACTGGCTGGACTGGTGTCTTTATTCAACCTTACCAACTATATAAGATACTAGTACAGAGAGCAGGGCATGATCCCTCCGCTCCAACACAGCAGCTTCATTAGCTTTAATCTCTTACTGAGAAGTCCCATCACTTTTCATCCATCTGAATATTCCCATCATTTTTAAAATAGAGCAGTCCCACCATATCTCCTCTATAGCTGAGAACTGTCATCACCTCTCCTCTCGAACAAAATTGTTGGAGGTATCTAGGAGTGAGGGACAGAAGAGGAGACAGTCAGGGGTACCAACAGGTAAGGTGTAAGAGGTATATGGTGGGAGAAGGCGCAGGGGAGGAGATAGATGGTGGTACCAACAGGTAAGGTGTCACAGGTATATGGTGGAAAAAGGAGCAGGGGAGGAGATAGATGGTGGTACCAACAGGTAAGGTGTCACAGGTATATGGTGGGAGAAGGAGCAGGGGAGGAGATAGATGGTGGTACCAACAGGTAAGGTGTCACAGGTATATGGTGGGAGAAGGAGCAGGGGAGGAGATAGATGGTGGTACCAACAGGTAAGGTGTCACAGGTATATGGTAGATTGAAGAGCAGGAGAGGAGATAGATAAGGTACCAGCAGGTAAGGTGACAGGGGTACCCAGTAGACTAAGAAGTAGGAGAGGTGACAGACAGGGTACTAGCAGGTAAGGTGTAGTAGGCATATGGCAGATTAAGGAGCAGAGGAGAACAGGGTACCAATACGTACGTTGTCAGAGGTATATGGTACAGGAGGTTGCAGGGGAGGAGAAGGAGTGGTGTACTAGCAGGTAAGATGTCACAGGAATACAGTAGAAGGAGGAGCAGCATGGGAGGAAATGGAGAAGGATACCAGCAAGTAAGATGTCAGAGGTATATGGTAGAGGATGGAGCAGGGAAGGAGACAGAAAGGGATATCAGCAGACAAGGTATCGCAAATATGATATATAAAGGATCAGAGGAGGACAACCACAGGGGTACCAGCAGGTAAGGTGTCAGAGGTATAAGGTAGAGGGAGGAGAACGATAGACATTCCAACAGGTAAGGTGTTAGAGGTATAAGGTGGATGGGCAAGCAGTGGAGGAGACAGAGAGGGGTGCCAGCAGGTAAGGTGTTGTAAATATACTGTATGGCAAATTAAGTAGCAGAGGACCCAAACAGGGGTACCAGCAGGTAACATGTCATAGGTATATGGTAGGAGGAGGAGCAGGGGAGGAGATGGAGAAGGGCACCAACAGGTAAGTTGCAGCAGGTCAACAGTAGAGGTAAAGCAAGGGAGGAGACAGACAGGGGACAAGCAGGCAATGTGGTAGAAGTATATGGTAGAGGGAAGAGCAGTAAGAATAATAGGGGTACCAACAGAGTAGAGGGGCAGGGGAGGAGATGAACCAGCAGGTACTATGTTGGAGGTTTATGGCAGAGGAAGAAGAAGAGATGGACCAGTAGGGATGATGTCAGAGATATATAGTAGAGGGAGGAGAAGAAGACATGGAACAGTAGGGATGATGTCAGAGATATATAGTAGAGGGAGGAGAAGAAGAAGATGGAACAGTAGGGATGATGTCAGAGATATATAGTAGAGGGAGGAGAAGAAGAGATGGAACAGTAGGGATGATGTCAGAGATATATAGTAGAGAGAGGAGAAGACATGGAACAGTAGGGATGATGTCAGAGATATATAGTAGAGGGAGGAGAAGAAGAGATGGAACAGTAGGGATGATGTCAGAGATATATAGTAGAGAGAGGAGAAGAAGAGATGGAACAGTAGGGATGATGTCAGAGATATATAGTAGAGGGAGGAGAAGAGATGGACCAGTAGGGATGATGTCAGAGATAAATAGTAGAGGGAGGAGAAGAAGAGATGGAACAGTAGGGATGATGTCAGAGATATATAGTAGAGAGAGGAGAAAGAAGAAATGGAACAGTAGGGATGATGTCAGAGATATATAGTCGAGGGAGGAAAAGAAGAGATGGAACAGTAGGGATGATGTCAGAGATATATAGTAGAGGGAGGAGAAGAAGAGATGGAACAGTAGGGATGATGTCAGAGATATATAGTCGAGGGAGAAGAAGAAGAGAGGGCGGACAGGGAACCAACTAAGTTGTCAGAGGTATATGGTGGAGGGGTTACCATTTCATCTTTCTTCAGGTCCTGTTTCTTCAGGAAGCCAATGACTTCCAGCATGTCCTTCTCCATCTGGTACTGGTTCTTACTCAACTCTTCATTATTGTGTGCCAAAGTTCGAGCGGCATCACGGTATTGCGTTCGAGACAGTTCCGCCATCTTAAGTCTGGCCTCCCAAACGGCTGCATTGGCCTTCGCCTTTTCTGCTTCTGACTCTTTATCTGCTCTGGGCTCATGTTTGCCCACCTTCTTCTTCCTGTAGGTAGAATGAAACTATAATAAGGCCCATAAAGTAAAGAAGGCACCAGTGATGGGAAGAAGGACCATGCTTTCCTTCCAGCAAGGTTAAAAAATCAGGGCACACAATGGGGCTCCCGCCAGTGATGTCATTTAAAATGGGGGCTCTCACCAGTGAAGTCATATACAATGGCAGGACAAATAGTGGGAGTTCCGGCCAGTGAAATCACTTACGATGGGGACTCCCGCCAGTGCTGCCAAATTGTGGAGGCTCCCATCAGTGACTTCACATACGATGGGGGAAACCTCCAATGGAGCCACACAAGAGGGGCTCCTGTCAGTGATATCATGCACAATGGGGTCTCCTTCCAATGATATCTCTCACAATGGGGTCCTGCCAGTGATGTCACACATGATGGGGGCTTCCACCAATGAGATAGCTTGTGATGAGGGCTCCCGCCAGTGACGTTATTGATGATGGTGACTCCCTCTAGTGAAGGTTTGTAAGAAAGAGGATCCCTTCAGTGAGGTCACACAGGAGGGGGGCTCCTCCATAGTGATGTCACGCGCGGCAGGAGGGCTTCCACCTCTCAGTGAGGTTACCAATGACGGTGGCTGCCCATCCTCCCCCCCTCAGTGATGTCACACACAACGGGGGCTCCCACCAGTGAAGTAATGCGTGACAGGGGGCTCCCCCCACCTCAGCGATGTCACACAACAACAGGCGCTTCCCCTCCTGATGCCACGACAAGGGGGCTCCCCCTCAGTGATGTCATGTGTAACAGGAGGCTCCCTCTCTCCAGTGATGTCATGCTCAGGAGGCACCTCCCCCAGTTATGTCACGCCTGACAGAGAGGGAGGGGGCACCTTCCCCAGTGATGTCACGCCTGACGGGGGAGACACCGCCCTGTGATGTCAAGCGCTCATGCGTGACGGGGGAACACCTCCCATATGTAGTGATGACACATGTGATGGGGGCACCTCCCCCGCCCAGTGATGTCATGCGTGACCGGGGGCACCCTCTCCCCCCCCAGTGATGTCACGCGCAACAAAGTGTTTGTGTCACCTCCCCAGTGCCATTGCTAATGACAGAGACTCCCCCCAGCGATGTCACATGTGAAGGGGGCTCGTACGGCAGCGGCCCCTTCCAGGTAGAGGACATGCTATGGGGGCTCTTCTAGTGACCTCATATGAGGGTCTCTCGGTGTGCAGAGAACCTCTCCCCTCTCTGGCCCGTCTCTAGGCTCGCTGGACTCACCTCTTGCTCTTGCTCCGCTTCGCTCCTTTTCCCACCATCTCTACTCTGTTACTGCGTCTCCATGGCGACGGCTCCGAGCCTCCTCCCGCCCCCTGTGTGTCACATGACCGGAAGTGCTTCAGAAAGCCGGTGTCCCGGTAGAGATGAGGTAAACAGTGAGTTCGGGAGACAACGACCCCAGTATGGAAGAGGGGGGGACACTGCCCCCTGTGTAATGGAGGGGATGGGGGATTAACTCTGACCCCTTTGTTTTAATGGGTCGACTAACTCTGATCCCTGTATTATGGTGGGTAATATTGGGGGCACTGACCCTATGATGGGGGGTAATATTAGGGGCATTAACCCATTGTATGATGGGGGGCAAAATTGGGGGCATTAACCCCTGTATGATGGGGGGTAAAATTGGTGGCATTAACCCCTGTATGATTGGGGGTAAAATTGGGGCATTAACCCCTGTATGATGGGGGGTAAAATTGGGGCATTAACCCCTGTATGATGGGGGGTAAAATTGGGGCATTAACCCCTGTATGATGGGGGTAAAATTGGGGGCATTAACCCCTGTATGATTGGGGGGTAAAATTGGGGGCATTAACCCCTGTATGATGGGGGTAAAATTGGGGGCATTAACCCCTGTATGATTGGGGGGTAAAATTGGGGCATTAACCCCTGTATGATGGGAGGTAAAATTGGGGGCATTAACCCCTGTATGATTGGGGGGTAAAATTGGGGCATTAACCCCTGTATGGGGGGTAATATTAGGGGTATTAACCCCTGTATGATGGGGGGGTAATATTGGGGGCATTGACCCCTGAAAACCCCACAAGTACCCTCAGGAGAAATACAAGCTGCTCTGGAAAAAGGCGGTGTGGTTGTTTTTAAGGAGCACAATACGACGACACTTGAACAAAAATGAGCTGCATGGTTGAGTTGTCAGAAACTTTTACTGAGCTATATTGTATCCAGGATTTTTTGTGGCATTGGCTCAGTAAAGGCTTCTTTCTGGCAACTCAACCATGCAGTTCATTTTTGTTGTATTGACCTCCGTAAAAACACCCACGCCATCTTTTTCCAGAGCAGCCTGTATTTCTCCTGAGGTTACCTGTGCTTTTTTCTTATTTGCATCCCAAACAATTCTTCTGGCAGTTATGGATGAAATCTTTCTTGGTTTACCTGATCTTGGCTTGGTATCGAGAGATCCCAGAATTTTCTACTTCTTAAAGCGGAGCTCCACCCAAAAGGGGAAGTTCCGCTTTAAAGACTGGTCCCCCGCTCCCCATTAAGGATTGGCACCTTTGGGGAGCAGGAGTGGGTCGAGTCCCTGAAATTGACAGGTACCCGCTCCCACATCTGCTGCGATCGCCTAAGGTTGTCCTCCTACCCTCCCTCGCCATAGTCTTCTGGGACATGTGACAAGTGCCATTCAGGAAGCACAGCCCCACTTGCGCATGTGCCGTGGGCACCCGGCTGTAAAGCCGCAAGCTGTCACAGCCGGGTGCCCACACTAAAGATGCCTGTGCTTGGAACACCAGACGGCTGGTGAAATGGGCTGCGGGGAGGACACTGCGGGACCGAGGGACAGGTAAGTGACTCTTTTTTAAAGGTCAGCAGCTACAGTTTTTGTAGCTGCTGACTTTTAGTTTTTTATATTGTGAGTGGAACTCCACTTCAATAATTGATTGAGCAGTACTGACTGGCATGTTCAAGGCTTTGGATATCTTTTTATATCCCTTTCCATCTTTATAAAGTTCCATTACCTTGTTATGCAGGTCTTTTGACAGTTTTTTTTTCTGCTCCCCATGGCTCAGTATCTAGCCTGCTCAGTGCATCCATGTGAGAGCTAACACACTGAATATTTAAACACAGGCACTAATTTCAATTTAAAAAGCCAGAGATGTAGCAAATTAACCTTTTAATTGCCATTGTAACCTGTGTGTGTGTGTCACCTTGTGTGTCTGCACCAAGGCCAAACCTTTCAAGGCCAAACATTCCAGGGGAGGGAAGCTTTTGATCGGGGCCATTTGGGTGATTTCTGTTATCATGATTTAAAAAGGAGCCAAACAACTATGTGATAATAAATGGCTTCAAATGATCACTATCCTTAAATAAAGGGCAGTTTTTTTTTGGCATGATCAGTTATATCTTCAATATAAATACCAGCATTTCACAATTTCTGGCAGGGTATGCAAACTTTTGAGCACAACTCTACATTTGGGTACAGAGGGCTTTAAGTTGCTTTATACCAAGGTGTCTTTACATCTGATTTCAGGTGTCATCTAGAGATGGAAGCAGCAGTTTCGTTGGGAGAGGAATGTCTAGGTGTTGGATGCAGATTGTCCTGATGGTTCTCCTGTACTTCATAAATGGTGAGTTATAATCCACTTCCACTTTATGAAACATACAAAGTTCATAACATCTTTTTCTTGAGTTCTTTTTTTTTTTTTAGTCTGCTCCTATCTTGGCATTTTGATGTGAGCATGTAGAGGAGTGCCCTTCCTGATTATGGTTTTGTTGTTGGCATTGTCACCATGGAATGTGGTTGGTTGGATGTTGGCCAAGTGTAGTTGGGCCAGCAACTATGAAGGCACCATCAAAGGAGAGGTCAGCTAGCCACCTCTGGAGGAACCCTAGTTGAGAATAGCTGCTCTATAGGCTGCCAGTCTGCAGTGCCAAGAGTGTGCAGATCAATTGGTGTGATCTCACCTGAGCTATCCAGAAGCCCACCAGGCCATCCCTTAACACAGTGACTTTTGATGACCATTTTTGGGGTGAAGGACACACAACAGGTGACAGCCAGAGCTGCCAGTACTCAGCACCGTGTAGAATAGAGGACACCTGCAGATGGAACTGGGCAGAGTGTGATCCTAGAGTGGGATGGCAGACTAAGGAGGTCCTGTTAGTTAGGGGGTGATTGTGCTCTGCCCTGCGGAGATCACTTTTTGTCCCTTTGGTAACTGGAATAGGAATTAGGAGAATAGATGTGATAGAGACATCAAGGACGCAGGCAATTCCAGTTTCAAAGTGATAATAATGCTTTTCCACATTATTCCTGTTTTTCTGTTTATATGGTTACAATTTGATATTTTACTTTTTAACCACATACCGCCCGCAATGTACTGTGGCCAGGCGGCAGCTACAGGCAAAGCGACATACCTGTATGTTGCTCTGGCTGTATAGCGAGTGGAATGAAGATCCCGGTGAACGGGACCTGGTGATCATGTGATCACTATGCGATCACATGTTCACAATGTAAGCAAAGCTGTTATGAATCAATCTCATTCATAACAGCTCTGCTTCTCTTCCTAGTGAGCTGTGATTGGTCCACAGCTGTCACATGATACATGGGGCCAATTACAGCACCTGTACCATGTGACCAGCTCCAGCCAATCACAGATCACTATCTTGAGCTGTCAAAAACCTGACTCATTGATGACAGTTCATGAATGCGTTAGATTCATGACAGCAAGCTTTGCATTGCAGAATAAATGATCTTTATTCCTCCTGCAAAGCAAAGTGTAAAAAAAAAAAAAAAATCCTTGATCACCCCCACAGTAGTACAGTGTTACTATGGTAACATTGTACTATTCTGATAAAAGTATTAAAAAAAAAAAATTAAAAGTTTAAAATAAATAAAATAAAAAATACCATATTGAGAAATTAAAAAAAAAATGTTTAAGGCTTTTTTATTTAACTACTTGCCAACCACTTACCCGCATTTTGAGGGCGAACTGAAACTCTATACGGGTCACATGGAATAACTGGTGTG